ACCATACTGGGACCAATTCATGTCGTTCCACTATTGCCCTTGGTGGGGGCTCGCTACCATACTGTATGACGCCATGAGTCTACTAAAGCACGTCAGTGGGGGAACAAACCACAGTCTCACAATCTATCTCCGACAAGAGCGGTCAGAGAACCAACCCAAGCCAAGAGCCTGTAAACGGTTGGACCTTTGGACCGGGGGTCCTGTAGTGCAAGGATCAACAACTCCGTCCCTGGGACTCGAACGCGGGACCTCCGTAGCCCACTTCATTTGACCACAAAGTAGCAGTCCGTATTCTGATAAAATTAAATCGGTAGTATCGAATTTGATAAGTGGGTGTATTGCTATAAAATGTAGTCTAGCTCGAACAATCGAACAAACACAACATTTCTCACAACCTTTATTAAATTATACATGATTGACACTGTTGACAAACATTAATTCATTGTCAAGTAACCAACAATTGAAATCCCCATCTAGTATTTCAAATGAAACAATTTAATTCTATTGATATGAACTATCGATAATGTCTTATTAAGTAAAACTCAACTTTGATCGCTTCTATTTTCAGTCTAAATATTATTTTGCAATCATCTGGTCTTTTAGAAGATGGATGATAGATCTGGAAAATATAACAGCTCATCAGATACGTGCGTCTGAAACGAAGTCCCATTAGACAATATATTGTACCAGTGTGCCTTAGAGCGGCCATTTCAGAACACTCTCTTACAGTTGAACACCTGATCTAACCCCCGGAGACCTTATCTTGACAATAAAATATGCATATATTGGGAATACGCCACTACGTTTCAGGAATACTAATCCGTTTAATTGGTCAATGGTGCCTTATGATTCTAAACATTGGTCTATACGTTACATAATTCCTACTTACATGATTACGACGAAAGAATAAAGAGGTTCAATGATGCTGTAGAATGACACCACCAGAACAGGTCAAATACGTCACTTAAGATTGGCAACGTAACGTCTTCTTTTTTAAAAAGTCAGAAAACTAAATTTAAATGTCCCATCAGCTACTATAGAAATAAAAGGCAAAGGAATGAACGTAAGACAAGACTATATACGTTATTAGACCAGTCAGTAAACTTTGTTGGACAATGACTATTTGCAATCTCATTGTTGATTATGTAAGGGAAATCGAATTCCAACTAATCATTATCTGTCCACGATAACCTGATGTTACCAGATTACATATTGTTCCAGCTTCAGAACATATATGCCAAAGGAGCCTGCAATCAATATTTCCGAACTAGTTTGTCTTATTTTGTTTATACAGATGTTCCTGCCTTGAAATTGAATCACCAATCTACAATAGCCAAATTATAAGAAATAAACAAATATTAGACATTAATCAATGTATGACAAGGTGCGTGCTGTTCTTTCAAACATTATACCTCTACAGTCTTCCTAATTAAGCTCTATATAAATATTTATTATGCAATTTAGTAATTGTATATCAATTGAATTGTAAATGCGTTGTATTGTATTATATTATATTGTTGCATATATATTGCCGTATTGCTTTATAAATTGTATAATAACTTGAGTGGTTTTCATGTATTTTTTTATAGTGTACTTTACTGATAAATAAATAATCGTAGATTATTGTAAATATGTATTGTTCTATGTTGGTTTGTATTGTTTTTTGGGGCCAATCTGGAAGGTTCCTTTCAATTTTAAAATGAGTTGTAAACCATAGATCTATTTTTAAATGTTAATGTTTCAAATTATATTCTATTCAAATTCTATCACTATTAAATTATTTATATCTGCTGTGTATGGACTAATGGGAAAATTGATGATAAATTTGATGAATTTTTGAAAATCGTCATTCCCATGAAATCCAATGGGAAATGGAGGGTTCGGGGCAAATCAGAAATCAGGATATCTTTTCAGTAAAAGATTCGGCAAAAAATATTATTATATAGAAAATTGAATTGTCTAACTTTTTTGTACACCAAGTGTTTAGTTTATTTGATGAATACTAAAGTTACAGCGCTTCAAAGTCATTTTTGAAAATAATTTTCGCCTCCTGTGTTATTTCAATGGGGGAGGTTTTTTGAACAACAATTTTGACTTTAAAGCCCTATAACTTTGTTGAACCTGAAGAAACATATCAATTTTTGGTTAAATAAAGTTAACAAATTCAATTGCCTGCCTAACTCGTATTTTTGCAAGGACTCGGATGGATGGATATTCTGTCATATGACTTGCGGCAAACCTCGAATGTCGATTTCAAAAATTCATCAAAATCATCAATTTTTGACTTATTGTAATTGAGGAAAAACTTGGAGGTATTGGAAATAAAGTCAAATTACGTTTCCATCAATAGTATAAGTATTTTCATCGCAGGTTAAGTAAATAAAAATTCAAAGGTACAGAGGCTTTAACACGTACTTCAATGGGGGAGCTAAGGTTGTCAAACTTATGGAGGGGAATGTACATTATTTCAATCTAAAGAGCAGGCCCATTATTAATATTCTTTGAGTTATAAATACTTACGTACTTTCTAATTGAAAATGGGAAGATTGTGTTCATCGAACATCAATTATTTACCATACAACAAATTGGCCTTCATTAACAACATTTAAAGATTGATAATCGAATATTGTCAACACCAAAAACGATCTGATCAGATCATTATACAAGATATCTATACGAACTAATTTGTAACATTCAATACTATAAAGAACTAATTGATTTACCCTCAAGTTTTAACCCTTCATAAGAATTGCAATATCAATAAGAGCTCAGTATGGTATACAGAATTTATTAATTATTCAACTAAAGGTTCTATTGGCAGACCGTACACAGAAGCCATAATTACCTTATCAATCTATGTATAATTGTACTCAGAGAATACTCAAGATTGTGATATAAAATGAAGTATGTATACAATCTATGACAACGTAATTCCAGGTAGCGCTATTGAACGGAACTCGAGGTTTCCTGTATATATTGATTTGGTCATTATACCCTATGGTCGTTCCCATCTCATCCCGTCCAAATTATACATATTATAGTTGCTTCGGTGTATAATTTTGATCCATCATGAGATGCCTGGAGATACAGTCTATTGTTTTTATGTTTTTCTGTAAAGCTGAAAGGTACCACTTAATTTTCCTTATTATCTACTTCTGTATAATTTTACTTATTTTTATGGGCAAAATGGCTGCTGAGAAAAGTTTTGATGGAGCTGAAGTGTGTTTAACATGTGTACATAGATTGTGATGGGATACCCTATTATTTTACCAGTTATGCATGGGAATGTCAGAAACTGTGTTATTATTGTGTTTCGATATTCTTGAAGTAAAGAAAGTTTAAATACATTTTGAAAGCAAATCGGAAGGCAACGTTAGGATTTATGTGGACTTAGACTGTATTTTATGAATAATTATCTCAAAGTAGATTTATGTGACAGCACTTCAAGAGTGATTGAATGGGAATTTCTCAGGAATGTATTCTTGTTTTTCTGAATTGAAAAATAAGTTGAAATGATCCCATTTCGTCTATTCAAATCCAATATTGGATTATTGTGTTAAATTAAAGTTCAAAATAAATCAACAAAGGTCGACATTTGGCCGGGCATATATTGTTAGCGGTTTTGCAGCACTTAAAATTGTAGTATTTACATAAGGAATAATTGTAAAACATTCAAAGAAATTTCAATTGGATTGATTGTAAATAAGGGTTATCAAAACCTGGTGCTTTCTAAAGAGACGAAACTGTGACTGTGCGAATGTTTAGAGATTATTGGTTCAAAATATTTTCATTTTGACTTAATCTCTCACTTTGGATTGCCATTGACGTGATTTGTGTTTGTAAAGTTACAAATGTCTGAAGCAATTTCAACATTTTAGATTACTACAGCACGTCAAACTAATCCAAGACCTATACCCAATAACTCAGTGAAATTGGAAGATATTAGATGATGGAGAACACACGTACGGTTTTACTATCTGGTTTGGAACTTTGATAAATAAGTCAATTGAAAAAAGCAAAAGAAAAATGTGTTGTTTATTCAAGAAAATGCATTTTTTGTCTATTGATGTGGCTGTTCTTCTGATTAACGATCCCAAATCACAATACATTCTCTATCATTATCAATGTCTTTATCTTTATCATGAACATTTCTGAAACGTATCAGTTCACCTCCATAGACCAACATCAGTTAACTTTATAATCTTGGACAAGGCTAAGCAATAATAAGAAAACATCAGTTGCGACAACAGAAAATAACTCCCAGCTAAGAAATCAAACCCAAATGAACAAAACAGTATCTGGGACGCCAAAGATGATCTATAAGAGCATAGGGCGTATTTGTTAAACAAGCAAATCAGAGAAGTTCACAAACAGACACAGAAAATTAACCTCCATTTTACAATACCAGGTTGAGACTACTATGACATTTACTAGGAAGTAAGATCTACTATCCGGTAAAATCACCCCTATGTAGCACACCATCCACAATAATATTCCAAAATCCCCAAAACATGCTGAAACAAAGTGAAGCCTATCAGTCCATTCTGATGGTTAGAGCAAACCGCAAAGTTCAAGAGAAATTCTTATCTATACATTGCCAATTTAAACTGTACAATTTGAACGACATATGAGGGATGTTTAGTAACTGTTTATTTGGAATGTTGAACACATCACTTTTTATGGTTATTGCTGGTTTCAATGGTTATTTTGTCACTCGGAATGTCCATAGAAGAAGAGTTTTCACAACAAGAGATTCAAAGAACAAAAAATAATATGAACCTATAAATCCCCAAAACGATCAATATGATATATGTAAAAACCATATAAGAATTTGATACTGAAGCCAACCATTAGAACATCCAAAATAGACAAATGTACTTGAGTAGTGTGCATATGATTGCAAGGTAACAGACTTCAAAATATTTATGCTTGCCTTTATGTTCACAGGAATGCTCAAAGAAACAACACAATTTCTTTATTTATGTCAAGAAATGACTTACCTAATAAGGTCAAGATGATAGTAGCTAAGGCCAGAACCTCTGTAAATTGTATTTGATGCATCTTTGTCGTGAAGGGGACAGGTAGCAAGATTCATAAATGTCCCATCTCAGTTTTGTCTCCAATATATGATATTATCTGTAAAAAGAGAAAATGTCATTATTTTACTTTTGACAGTTTTATGAATCTGATGTTAAGCTCGAGTTTCTAAGAATTCTTCAAAGACATATTGATTCTGTTGTACATCTGTAGAGTCTTCATCGACTAAGATAAACTTAATGATAACACGAGCGATTATTAAAAACTGTTAATATCACATCAGATTAATCTCAATAAGTTATGTTTCGTTCTTTGGCCAATTTCTCCAAATTCTTCGGCTTACATCTTGAACATTGCTAGACCCTCTCTTGAACGTAATCTCACCATTGATCGCAGAGCCTCTTATGACCGGCTGGCAATGGGGATTCTAATCCAGCGATTTATTGGTTCTCTGAGAATAGGGATCGATCAATTTGTACAAAACGCCAAAGTAATTGCTCATAAAATAGGATATCGAATTATTCGATTGCCTCCATAGGTCCAATGTTATTAAAGAAAGACACCGCCAAATTGTATTTGAGAGATATGATGAAAACGCTGATAATGTATGATATTGATAGTTAGATTGTGATATTGCTATATATTTCTAGGTACAAATTATCGAGAGCTTATGGAAGCTATTGTTGTGGCTTTGTTTCTTATCAGAATAGCGTAATCAGTACCCTGCCAAGCCCTGGATTAATTTCCAAGACAATCAGCGGAGAAGTAATGCATTCGTGAAATTGCCACAGCGTCATATCTTGCTCATATTTCATAAGTAATCAGCAGGTAAAATACGATATGATTAATTCAGGTTCTTCATAGAAAATTTCTTCTGATGTAAATGAAAGGGAAACGAGTTGTAAAATAAATCAAAGCAGGAACTCGTAAGAAGGATGTTAAAAAATAAATATGCAATCAGGAACATTTATAATATCATGCGGCTTACCAGTTTTCTAGAATTATATCGCACCGTGTTATAATTTCCAAATCAGCAATAGGATCGCCACCATGTATGCTTCAACACCTTTTCAGGTCACCTTATATAACCCTATGTTGTGTACATCTCCGCAACCTTTCAATTTGGCCGTCTATATGAATTCCATATTCCACTTCTGAAGTAGAGATTCCTTAGAGCGTTAGTGGTTATGGTATCTTGCATTCATATACTTCTATCTGGCAATACGATCGGCGAGAGCCTATGTGTTTACAGTTAGTGCCAGTTACGGATGTACAGCTTCCCGCGTTTGCTTGCTGTCAATAGAGAGATTAACATACTCTGTCAGTTTGTCTGCTGCAACTCAGAAACAAGAGAAAATATGTTGCAAGTAAGTTGGTTATCCGATTACCGCAAAGAAACTATTAACATATGTGATGCGTTTCCGTGTTTAACGGTGATTCTACAGCTATTATGTAATAATATTATAATGATCGGATAGGTCAATTCAACTTGAAAATTTCCCTCCCGAGAATGCACAATTCCTTATGTAAAAATCTACCTTTACAATTAAAGATATGAGATCAATCAAAAGGCTCTCTAATCAATAATGAATCAGAAAACTTAATATTAAATTCGTTTGTTCTTCTTCGGCATACTACTGGTTTATAGTACTACCAAGACAGCTGTGAAAATTAGGATGTGATATTCACACGTTGCTTCAATAATCGAAGGAAATTCAGCATTCTGTTCTACCAGAGCTAGATCCGAGTGATCTGCTGAAGTAGACACGGTCTCTGGCTCAATTTTCTTAATTTATTTTTTAGAAAATGAGGCAAAAATAGTAAAAGAAACGTCGGAAGCAGGTTTCGAACTATTTTATATAAATTAATTTTGACATAAACAATCTAACAAAAAACCGATAACAGATGGATGGATCGACGATCGTCATAGCAAAACATTGAATGAACTGTTTGCCATAAACCTGTATACCATATACCATTGTCTACCATACAAAGCAGATCTAATACCCACGTCTCTGTGTACAGTGTCAAACAGGCTCCGTTGAGACTCTGAGAATTATCTATCACTGTTTATTAAACATTTATCACTTCTCTCCAGTCGGATATATTTGAGCAAGCTAAATGAAAAATATCAAACAAAGAAGAATGTATAAATATTTAAAGTGCTCTGTGTGGATATTGATAAAAGAATCCAATAAGTCCAAATCGTTGAATGATCCATTCGCGATCAAACACTGTAGCGTAATCCAGCGCCGATAGATCATTTTCGTAGTGCTGACATAAACGATCGTCGGATTCAATCTGGGGCCATCAAGACTTGCTACACGCCTCTTGTCTCTTCTTAATAGTTTCTATGTAAATTGGAGAGACGGAAGAAATACACGGTTACAAAACACAATCTAAATCCCCTAGCACTAAAAGTAAATTAGCATGCTTACGGAAAGAGGGTACTAAAACAAGACTAAAATTACATTATTTTCCCTTAGGCGTACTGCATTTAAGAATTCCACCTGGTCTTTACTTTATCATATACAATGAAGTATATGTTGAAACATGGTCCACGTTTGCCGGACATGTATTCAACGTCTCCATCGTCATCCCGCACTCTCTGCCCAACCGTATAAGGACGGCACAACACGTCGCCGAAATGCACTGAAAAGAAAAGCCTGTAAAATCTTATAAGATTCAAATATAATTTATTTATCATTGGCATCGAATGCAATGAATCCCGTCACAATGTTTACAAATACTCAAATCACTCATTCTGCATCTATAATCTCATCGTTTAGCGAGCGCATCTTTGCTTTGCGCTGCCATCTTTGATACTGAAGAGGAGACAAATACATGTATACGGGAAGTGTTCAGTCGTAGACGGAGTTTCCTTTATCTTCAATATTCCCAACATTAAAATCTCAATGGGACCATTTCGGATGTAATAAGCATTCAACCCTTGTGGCTAGCTTTACGTACGATTGACTATTTTTGTTGAAAACAAGCGTTTCTTAACTTTTAAATAGCATAACCTTGGTTTCAGTAAGAACTAAGCTTGTATTCGCAAATGCGACTAACGCCTGTCGGCTACCGGATTAACTTACTAATTTAAGGGCAACTCATTTAAATATGAATAGTACACGCCACTATTCCATTCATATCTAAATGAGTTAGGTCATAACATAGCAGTTTAATCCGGTAGCCGACAGACGTCGCGAATACAAAGTTAGATTTTAAAAATGTACCTTTCTAGAGCTCTCTTTTTAGCTTGTGGCTCGATTTTGCTTATTTTTACATTTCTAAAAACAAAATGGCGTAGAATGAACCTCATACTCTAGTAACAGACACTGTTGACGGCCAGAGTCACCCCAAAGTTCTATTTTTGAGAGTAAATCAAATTGAACATTGTCTAACTTAATCAACACCTCTGAAGTGTTCATATTATATCTCGATTAACAATAATAAGATTTTCATACATGATATTTAATGCTTTCCCAGTTTCCCCGGACCAAGCTAGGATTCAGAAATAATATTCATACTCCATCATGCTTAACCATGACATCTAATTTCTTCTCGGTCCTGAATACAGAATAAAGATGTTCTGAATATTAGATGGCAGTAGTATAGTTTTTGCCATAATCTGATATTTTCCAAATCAAATATATAAGAAGACGGATTGGATTAGAGTAGTATTGATCCACCAGGCTCGTTTAAACCTTCCCTTTGTGTACCTTATCGATCTCCCCAATGGTATATGGCCTGTCGCTTTTGTCGAGCATAGCCACGGGGGATAAGCAAAACGAGGGCGAAGCCACGGACTGCGACTCGCGTAACTTTACACCGCAGCCCAGCGCCAAAATGGAGGGACATTCGGCAGTGCCTTCTGCTTCTTCCGACAAAATAGAGAAATCCAGGTATTTTAAATGCTATCGTAGTGTCTAATCGGTGACCAAAATATTACTCTGTATCTACTGTTGGTCTGTAGATAAGAAAATAAGCAGTTGTCCAGATCAAGCTAAAACAGTAGCAAAGTTCTGATTTTACCTGTAAAATATGTGCATATTATTTAATTTACTATACATTTGAAAGGAGTTTAAACACGTTTCTGATTTCTAAAGGTTAGTTGAGGCTCCGAGTATAATTCGTGAAAATGATTTGATAATAGAATGTGTTCATGAGGAGAAAATTTGATTCAAACTGCGCATTCATAGTGGACGCAGTCCAGTAAACAAAGCTATTTCAACAACGCAACACAGCCTCCATTGATATTCTAAGCAACGCAGTCCAGCCGCGAACACTAAATAAATAAGATAGTGTAAACTATATTCCTGGTGACAACGTAATATGTTTATTACAAACCAATTTGTGGATAGGGTTAAATATATAGATAATTGGATAGTGGTGAGACTTTTTATAAGAAGTAGAAATGCGAAACAATTAACTTTTTGATGATGCAATAAAAGCTGTTGGGGAAGGGTACATTAACTAGTATTTAAGATATTAGGAAAATATCAAATAATTGGAGAGTTGGTGAGTTAATGTAATTTTGGATGATCTTTCCAACAGTCCATCAATATTGCTAGCTACCATAAATTCATGATTTCAGCTGTATTTGACAGCTTGTATATATTTGCAGAATGGATTGAGACACGATGTAGGTCTATTAAAATAGCCCTTTATATTCAATTTTGTCCAAAGTTGCTCCATTTCGGCCACACCTGTACACACTTTGTGCTATCTACCTTTGGCTGTGATTGCGTTCAGCTTCAGATATAAAGCAACACTGAGTCGCGGACTGCGTTGGGCAGATGGATGGACTGCGACTATTATAAATTCCAATTTTCTATGTAATTGTACGTTTTCCGCTTACCAAATATCACACGAAGATGTAATTGTAACAACAGAACATGAATAATTATATTAATTCGATGCCATTTTTGATTCCTTTGTTTAAATCGGTATATTAGGGACAAATATTGACAAAATTACATTTTTTGTGGCAGATTTCGAATTCATTTGTGTTCATGCTAAACTATTGGACAGCCGAGCACCAAGAATGCCATTGCAGGTGGAGTATGAATATGTTGATCACCGACTGGAACATACTAGCTATTCTGTAGAATATCCAAACCAATAATCTACCCCAAATCCTAACATGCCTTCCAAATTAAGTTTGGACTTACCGCCATTGTTCAGCTATAATGCGTTGTAACCTCGTTTTGAATTACGCGAGTCGCAGTCCGTGGCTTCGCCCTCGTTTTGCTTATCCCCCGTGATAGCAATACTACAAAATATTTACTTTTGTAAATTCAATTTCAATGCCAATTCTGGTACAACTGTTATTATTTGTAAGGCATGATTTCATTTTCAGTACCTGGATAATGCTCCTGTATGTGGGGATGCTTTATTTTGTTTTCATGGACCTTTGTGGTGAACGTTGATGGAACACTGTAGAGTGATTAATTAAACAGGTATGTATGTTATAAATGGTTAAAATGTGGGGTCAATCAATTCTTTTTGTTAGAAGTGATCCTATATCATGTAATTTTTATCGTACCAGAGCTGGACGTACACCTCCAACGGTTTGGAAACCTTTACTCCCCTTTGGCTTACGTGTTAAAGACTGTACGTTTCTTATACCTACTTTTAATATAAGTAGTCTTCTCATTGCACAAAATCACATACTTCCTATCCAATATTTCAATTTTTCATTGGCATATTAGCACTATGAGAAATTTTTTGCCTTCTATCAGTTCTATTTTTCATATTTTTAGTTGAAAAACAGAAAGAAGTGATGAGTTTATCAGAATGGCAAAAAGTAGCTTTCTCATTCAAAGTTATACAATTAAATCAAACACCAGGCTTTAACACGCAGTCCAATGGGGGTTAGAGATGTTACACTTTGGAGAAGAGTGCTTCCCCATCAGATGTATTCAAAAAGATACTGGGTCAATCAAAATCTGAAGCAATCGGAATTACCATTTTCAGATTTTGACGGAAAATATGACGTCAGAGTTGTAGCTGTATACTATAAAATCCTGATCCTCTTGTACAATCCGTTGATAATAAAGTAACGTAAGATTAGACCCGGCCACAAATTACAAATACTTACTGATAAACCAAGTAAGCAACGCTTAATGAGTACACATCTGCTTGTTTTTATACACGTAAGGTATACGGAGATTAACTAGAAGTTCTGAAGATCTCTAACAATTCTGCTTACCTCAGAAATACACAGAGCCAAAAATAAACCACGGCAGTTCATCGAATACTGTTCAGTACCTTACAGGTAATGATGGGAACACTGCAGAAAATGAAGAGAACAATGTAATGTACTACGTATACTTTGGAGTAATGGAGACATACGTTTCTCTGCGGTAAAGAGCAAAAAGTCCAAGAAACAAAGTCGATGACAACTACAAAGGTAGAAGGCCGATTCCAGGCCCATGCAGGGAAACTATGGCGGAAGAGCAGAATCCTGAAAAGGTGGAAAGAAGGGACGTTTACACTTAGTCAATCAAATGGATTACTCGTACTATGGACCCTCCAGGAAATAGGCGATCCAGAAAGTACATTACACGTAAGTTTTGCATAACTTGGGAGGTTAAGTTTAAAACTTGTACGTGAACGTGTTGAAGTATGGTCCTCTATATGGATAAGTTCTCCCATTTGTAGTGTTTACTTGGCCCATTGGGTATAAAGGTATGGAGGGTACAAAGGTATAGGGGAAATAATTGTAATTAGGTCCCTGGGATAGTGAGTTGAGAGCGGGACAGTAATTCCGGGTTTGAAATATTACACGTTCACGTTCAGATTCTCTTAAAAAACGTGTAAACTTAACCTCCTACTACCTTTATTTCTCTAGTGTTCACACTTTAGGCTATAAATAAAGGGGGGGGGGGGGGGCGCTGGTTCAACACTACGTACATTCATGCTATAATTCTCACTAACATGAAATATGTTTCAAAATTTGAATTATATAATCATTTGGATTTCGTAGCATTGTACAATGCCTGTCGAGGTAATATAAAGTATATTAGAAACATACCAATGTGATGCTTTCAGTGGGATCGTATTGTCGTATAATTTTTGACTATTGCGAAAGTCTTTCACAAGCAGATTCTCAAAAGTCAGGCATTATGAAATAAAAATTCCATGATTATTTAAATTACTAAATTGAACTTCCGATTGTATGAACCTTTACAAGGAAAGTCTTAAAATACCGACCTCGTTAGTTTTTGATTACATCATTATGGCGAAAAACTATTTTTAATGGGAATACCATACTTTCTTCTCTCTACAAGTGGGTATCTAAAATGAAACTGATGCTATACACTCCACAGTCAGTGGGGATCAAAGGGAAAGGTTCACTTTGACAAATTAGTTTGGCCTAAAATCACATGAAAAATACTCAGAATTGTGATAACATACATGATTTTAAAAGAATTTTTGGCACGGGCGGGTGAACTCCTCGAACCCCCCCTGACTACGGGTCTGTAATTGTGATTAATTCTTTTTTAGTTTACAACATGTAGCATCCAAGGACCTGACCCAAAGACGATTTCCAACCTAAAGGACTATTTAGGGTTCAAAGTAATACTACCACCAAACAATGAATCACCGAAAGAGAGTATTGTTCATGAATTTCGAGCAAATTCCATTGTCGATCAAAGGGCATGGATGATCTGCTTTGGAGCAACTGGAGATGGATTCTTTTCAGATGGAAACCCAGAAGTTCAGGTACACGTAAATGATAAAACAATTAATTGCAACCGTCAACACAAAACAAATTCGTTTTGGGCTGGGGTTTACACAGTATCTTAATATTGGTAAAAATAAAACGAAAGTGAATGTCTTATTGAAGCATAAACGTTAACCTTAATCACCAAATTGTTTGAGGAAATGGAAACAAAATATTCTGTATTTGGTAGAGTATAACAGATACTTTGAAATATGATGGATACATTAAAATAGCAATATCTTTGAAATGTTGTAGATATATACTTAAACATATTTTATTTTTGCAACCAGCCATTGGAGAGTTGGATATGTAAGTGGGACATGATACACCCGTCACAGCAAGTGCTTGAGCTGAGGCAAAAGAAACTAGAAGAAGAAGAAGCTGAAGCTGATGCTACCGGGAAACCTTTCTCAGACGATGCCCCACCCTCTTACGAAAGTGTTATGGGGAGACTATTTAGCGATATTGATAAAAATAAAGAGGTGAATCCACAATGCGTTTTGCAAATTTCAGATTTCACATTTTTATTATGTGTTCTAAAATAATTTCCTCAAAATAATATTTGACAGCATGAATAACAAAAGTATGGTTTGCAGAAAAAAGTATGGAAAATTCGGCCAAATATGAAGGTAAACACGAGTTGCAATCAAGATTACCTTTGATAGCCTTGTTCATATTCATTTCAGGATTTCACGGGGAATCTACAGCCTCCGATTGAAATGCCTCCTATGAGGTATTTTAGGAGGCAAGAGGACGATAGTTTTCTGCCACCACATGCGCCACCTATTCATTGGCCTGTAAGCATAGGCTATGGGGCCGAAGTTGGATTACCTGAAGGAGTACAGGAGATCTGGGATGCAAATATAAACTCATACGTGTACATAGACCATTTAAACAGAGGAGTGTCCTACATAAATCCCAGGGCACCAATGGAACCTTTACCAATAGTTGAAAATGTTGTGAGTATGGAAGACATGGAATATATTTTCATTTTTTAAGTAAACAAATCTATCTCATCTTATACACATATTTAGATTTAAAAAATTCAAACGATCGTTGCATATTCTGAGAAGTCGATACCAGTCTACTGATACCAAGTATTGTAAAAGATGTTCGCGATCGCAATATTAAGATTCATGTTTCTTTACATACTGAAAAATATTTGAAATTGTGTTCTTATGCACAATTTTGTAACATCCCATTAAAGTTATTTTTTCAATGATAAGGAAAACGAATAGAAATAAGTAATTAGCTGCCACTTTTGTCTTTAATTTGTTTGAGCAGTTTTGAAAAATAGCGGCCATTTTTATTTGTGTTATCTAAACGAATTTGCTATAACTCCAAAATTTGTGGAGTAATTTTGTTTTGATTTGAAATATGAATACTTGGAAGTATTGCACTGTCTTATCATTCATTAATTAATGAAAATCAATAGTGGAGCAATTTCGTTTAAATATGTGAATACTTGAAAGCATATTGCACTGCCTAATGACAATTTGACTGATTGGTTGCCATTTTAAAAAATGGCGTGAATTGATTTTGTTAATATTTTTTTGTTGTTGTTGAAAATCTTTTAACAGTACTTGTATGATGGCCATTTTAAAACAAAATTTGCTAGGTGTTATGTCTGACACTCCTTATATAGCTGCTTAATTAGCTGTGATTCGCTACGCCTTGGCGTTGCTGTTATCCAGTTATGCCAAGTGACGCATCATACTAATCCGCCTTAAAAGCCATTGGTGTAAGACTATGCCATTGTTATCAATGTACCAGTAGTTTAAACTAAATACATCTACGCGATTTTTGTATTTTCTTATAAAGAAGCATCACTATGGCGACAGGATCAAAAGTTTTCCCGCAGAAGGGGGTGCGCTACGTGATGGTACAATGCTCAATGAATACGCCAAAAGTGCCTATAATAAGGTATGTCATTAATCATGTATAATATATATACAGTACGTTAGTTGGAATATATAACGGTCAATGACGGTTATCAGGCCCATAGCCAGAATTTGCCAAGAGGGGTCCACCTTTTGATAAATTCCTGGGGGGGGGGTTCACTTTTGACAATTTTGGTCCAAAAATGGCCAAAATCACTTAAAAAGTGCTCAGCATGGTGAAAAACTGCATGATTTTGAGAGAATTTTTGGCCAGGGGGTGGGGGAGGGGGTTCGCCCGAACCCATTGAACACCCGTGGCTACGGGCCTGGTTATGGTGAAGACTACATTTCATATTTTTCTGATGGTAAACATATTGTACCACAATTATAACGTTTTAAATGTGATTTGTAATTTTCAATTTTAGCCGTTTGGCTTTTCAATTCTGGCTGCCGGAGTAAATGGAGAACACGGGCAACAGGGAACAACAGGGTTCACTGGACAACCAGGTCACCAGGGCACCAACGGAAGTATGTAGCCTCAAACCCCTTAGAATATGCACGTTGCAATAATGTTTCGGTTTTAGGGTTGAATTTTTAATTGCCGTTTGTACATGTCAATGCTTTTTTCTTATAATAACCAATAAGTACATTCTTATTTCTAAAGTTTCATATTTACATATTGATATTCATATGACAAATCAAATCTCAAAGAATGCATAGCTATGTGTGAAAATAATTATGATTTGTAGTGACGGGTGGAAATGGAGGCCCTGGAGGGGCTGGTCAAGCAGGGGGACCTGGAGGGTTCGGGTCACATGCCTTTCACGCTACACCGGCCAGTGATATTAAGATTTACCTTACTGGAGACCCAAGTCTACTAACTGTATCTGGACATGTTGAAGCAAAAGTAAAGTTAGGAGGAATACAAAGAGAGCATGTTGTAATGGTGAATTGCAGAGGAGGCGATGGTGGCAAGGGTGGAAAGGGAGGAACAGGTATTCACTATTGTTTTTCGCAATAGTATAGTTTCCATATAGCTTTTGAAATCTCGCTAAATCTCGTTTTTGTGAGATTTTAAGAGACTTGCATATTAGACCTCTAATGACTTGCATTACCTTCTTCTAAATGGCATATTTGAATTCATTGAAATGTTTTCTCCTATAATAGCTTTGATTTACACAGTTATGTAATTTGAATAATTTTGTATAACAATTTAAAAAAACTTGGGCCAAATGTCCATAGATGCAATGCTAAAATTCTTTAAATCCGTGGATTATTTGTATGTCAATCAACATTTGCATGTTTAATCATAACATGTACATAAACAGGGTCATCATGTGGTATATCATTCAAGTTTTATACAGATTCAACAAACACACTTTGATAAATCATGAAATTAAGCCACTTTTCCAAGATTTTAGCATGTAAATGAATGGAGCTCTAGCCCAAGTTAAAAGCTGAATAAAAGATGGCAGCACGAGATTTCATTGATTTTTCTGCTATTTAGAAACTATCCTATTGTTTTAGCAAGATGGACGCATATCACGGGTAATCTTATATCGCATTCTGAAAGGGCACTAGGTATACACTGCACGGACCGTAAATTATTGGTCATATGCTCTTGTGAACATCATGCATGCTTTGTTTTTGTGGCCCATATTTCTCTACGACCATCTCGCCTAGAGTATTTGGAAAGAGCGAGAGTCTCACATAAGAACTAAACGTTGAATTTTGGGATGCTGGATTAAGAGATGGTTTTCTATTAGAACCAGTGTAAAGAAAGGTATTTAGTTGTCTGCTTTGTGTTAAAGGTGGAACGGGGGGAGCCGGAGGTCGCGGAGGTTCAGGTGGCCATGGACGTAACGGCAGCGATAGCCACACAACCGGAGGACGAGGTGGGAGTGGAGGACGCGGAGGGGATGGTGAGCAGCTTTGCCATATTCATTTTGGAGCTTTTATTTTGGATACCCACACACTAACTGTGCCTGTACTTACGAGCGAGAAGACGACTTATATCTCATTTGATAAAAATAAACAAAACTATATGCAAAAATTGTTGCAATCCTGAGGTGTAAAATGTTTTTTAAAAAGTTGACTATGGATCGGAGGTAAAGTGAAATGTAGTGAATTGTAAAATTACTTGAGGTTAATAGAGGAGATAACGGAACTTCAATGATCAAAATATTCCTCGTTTTGTAGTTTCTAAATGGTAATTTGTAAAATTGAACACAATACAGCACTATACAATAAGTGCAACGGAATAAAACATACAATCCAATCCAATGAGATATAAGCAATATTGTACAAAACTCGGCCATTGGTTTCCAGGAGGACCGGGTGGACGGGGTGGACAGGGAGGTCCAGGTGGCCCTGGGGGGCGTGGTGGAGACGCAGGGGCTGGTGGAAATATCAATATTGCAGTATATGACCCCGCACTCATGATGCTTTGTGCCGTGAGTATTATGTCTAAAAGTTGATATCATCTTACCAATTCTTCTCCCCCATTGCTTTGTTTACAGCTCGTTGTATGTTGGTTGAATGAAGAATCTCGACGGACAACATTACAAAAACAAGAGAATTCACATATAAAGCAGAGAATACACCATAAATAGAAGAAAAACAAAAACCTTGATACGCCCTATTATTTATGTTTAGATCAATTAAATTCTCGAACGGAAACTTCCCAACTTTTTTGAGTGTTGTATATAAAAGAATCAAATGAACACATAGGTAGTATAGTATGGGTATTTCAGATTGATTGCAGGGCTGGTAATGCTGGTGCTGGTGGAGACAGTGGAAATGGTGGACCAGGAGGACAAGGGGGAGCTGGCGGTAGTGGAGGTTCTGGAGGTAGGAAGACTATAACATCAGTATTGGCCAATACAAGGACAATACGAATAATCACAATTTTCAAAATGGCCTACACTCTATTTCATACAAAGCCGCTTTAATTATAATTGTACTTGTTTTATGTTAATATTTTAAAATTGCACTTTAATTTTGCTATTTAACTAAAATTTACACAAAATCAGGAATTAATTCCTTGCCTCCTAGTGGACTGTAATCCATGTTCAGTGTCTCCAATCTGATGAACATTACTGATCGAGACTTGGATGGTTAACTTTGCTTCTGATTTTTTGTTCATCTAATCACCTGCCTTACATGCCTTATCTATTTGAAATTTTTTTTGAAAAGGTTACTAGATTATCATCCATACCGTTTTGAGAAAAGATTTCCATGTAGCAAAAAAGATGTCTCCGCCTCTCAAAGCTGTCTTGGTTCCACTTTTCTATTTTGTACATTGATGGCATTCCTCTTGTATAGAATTAATAGCATTGAGAGGGAAATTAATCATACTTATAATAATGTTAAATCACTTAAAATAATATATCATATTGTTTTAACATAATCATCTTTCTGCGTGAAAAAAAGTTTTAATTTTACTTCATATTGAGTTAACAGTCCATTGGGTTTTAGAGGGCTACAAGCACCGTGTTATATGAGATATAGAATTATGATCTTCTCACCTCCTGTAGGGTCTGGGGGTAGAGGAGGACCATCAGGGAAAAGAAGTAATGGCAGCCACATTTCCTCCGGGTCATCTGGCTCAAGAGGATTTTCCGGATCATCAGGTATAAGAATAGATCAAGCCATGCTAAATAAAACATTTTGTTAGTTTTTGAAAAGTACTTTTTGTTGTTTAAAAAGATGTTTTTTCATCAATCGAACGCAGGGTGACACAAATCATTGTAAGCTGGAGCTAATAATCTTAGTTTGAAGAAGAAGAATGAATTGAAAAACTACTTCATCTTAAATTATTTGCAATTTTCCAACTTTATCAATGTTGGCTATCATAACCGTATTCCCCATTCAGGTAGCCGAGGACACAATGGTCAAACTGGACCATGTGGGCCACCAGGGCAATATGGTACCACAGCAGAACATGGCAGTATATTATGGACCTTGTTAGATCCAGCTACGAGACAACCTGTGCTAAATACAGGGAGAAGATATGAAGTTGAAACATTGGGCTACCAAGTAAGTCGATCTAAATGAAATATAATACATATAAGTTGTGATAAGTTTATAACATTTCTTGGATGGAGAAATAATATATATTCTGGATGAATTCCGAAATATCTGAGAATATGCATACGATCTAGTTGGAAAATAGGTTTTAACTATGAAAACACATCAAAATGTTTTATTTACTTGTAGGTCAATTCGCAAATAGACGATGGTATATACGAACCAAACGAGAGGATATTCATCTCAAACTTAACATTACAAAATTATGGAGGCATGTTTCTTCCTCCGAATGGAGTGGTGCACTTTCCATCAACAAAAACAGTGAATTTCGAACCAATAACGCATTCTCTCCCTCGGGTAAGTATAAACTGACTCAGACTAATATGATAGGTATAGTATGCAGTAAAACCGATCTTAATGAACATCTCTCTCTAGTGGACACCTGTGTTTAGCCCTCTCTGTAGTTAAACACCTCCTACATATACAGTGAACCCTTTATTATGACTCCATAGGTCTTCATTATATACAGGATTAACTGTAATATAAAGTATAATATACGATACACGTTTATAATGTAATCATATTGCTTTTTAGATGCCATTAACCATGTATACATGTTCAACTTTCAACATTTTAAAAAATTCAACTATTCATTTAGTGTTCATGATCAGTGGTCAAAATAAGTTTTAAGAAAAATGTTTAAAGACATATTCATCTGGTGTGCGAATTGTTATGTATAAGCTGAACCAGTTTTCAAAATTTTTAAATTTTTAACCTTTCATCCAGTGCTCAGTGGTGAGCACAGCTTGTAAGAGAAATGTTCAAAGACAAAACAATCTAGTGTACTTGTAAGTACATGTTTATATTTTAGTTGAACCAAGGGGAGAGTTGTGTTGTCCCTACTACTTTTGTTGGAAGAGTGTATGACATCCCTTCCCCTAACCAAGCTGGACCATACCATGGAACTGCTGAATTCAAGTCTAGAGTGCACCTGCTCAATAGACCATTTGATAAGGTGAGACAAAATAAGTTGAACATAAAACACATACCCATTGTTTTCATTTTTCAGATGATCATTGGGATGAACTGTAAATTGTAAGGAGCTCTTTTTGATTTCTATAAAATATAATATAACATTTTATAATGACAAGACTTCTTCTTCAGATTTTTCATGAAATTCATGAAATGAATTGCAGATTTATGTTGCTAAGTATGGCTGTTTAGCTGGAATCTATTCAATTTAGCTCTCATATTGCATAAGAAACATATAAGCAAAGTCCAGAAAGCAAACCAATAGAACTATCACTAAACATCTCCAATAATTTCAGGGTTTCTATTCAACCACTCTGGAGGTCCAATATCCTATTAAAATAGACTCAATCGAAGGTCCAACGCACCTAGGAAGAGGGGAGGAAGGTCTATTGCAAGTGACGGTCAGTATCATATATGGCCATACCTACATGTTGTTGAGTATACACTCACAGGTCCAAACAGAATGCTCTTTATTTAAACCATTTAGAAAGCTTGATATTCTTTTCTGTAAAAAAGAAACTTGTAAACATTTTACTTTCATCTTTTATTTTAGCTGAGAAATATATCTACAATGCCATATGGTGATGGACTTGATTGCGGGGGAGTTGTTGAACTGAGGGTAAATATATCTAGTTATTTTGAAAATAAGTTGAGTTTTATTCAAAGAAGGAAATTACGTCTACATGTATGCCATCTATATTTATAGTTACATTTATGTTTTATTGCATCAGTGCTTTCGTTTGGCGAATGTATTTTAAACGTTGGCATTTCTTTAGTTATTTATCTCAAAAAGTCCATCATATTAAGTCCTTTTAAAAATAGTTTGATTTTCTTGATCATTATTTGGTCTATTTTGATGATTCGTTTTCATTACTCATTTATTATCATTATGTTTTTTTATGCTTTGTAATTTGTTTTCATATGATCTGGCTGTAGAAACTTCATCTATGACATTTTCTGATTATTTTAATCAAAATTCATCTTTTGACTTTATCTCAGATACGGTTGGATAGGAGACTACTTCCCATACCCAGACTAAGTGAGCCAAGGCCATATTATCTGATGTATAACCCTGCAGTGAAAGATGATGTCTATTTTAGGGTAAGCACCAGTGATCACTATAAATGAATAAACACAAGGAGAACACGCGTCTCGAACTCGCATTCTCGTGGTTACGGCACCTACTCGCCTAGTTTGAACGTGTTAATAATCTATTCTATTTCATATAAATAAGGAACTTCAAAATAGACTGTCTTCGTATAGTAACGTTTTAAAACGCATTTTTAGTAAAATTATATTCATATCAATATTCATTATAATGACGTATATTCCAATTGTACATGTTATGTCATCATATGTTAGAGTAACTAACAACGCTTTTTAATACTTAGTGATACTCACATTAATTACAACTATTTTGCAATGTAGGTTGGTAGGATTGAAGCCAGGAGTACCCTTACACTCACTTTGCCTTTTTTAATGGAGTCTTCCTGCGAATTATTCGACAGATGTCTCTGGCAAACAGACCTTTTCCTGGTGAGAAATCTTACATGTTTTGCTAGAATAATGGTGCATTGGTACATTGCCATTGTCATTATCATTAAGTTTACAGCATAATCAAAATATAAAAGCAGTTTTTTTACAGATCGTATTATTTATTTAGTATCTAGTTCATTTTATTTTAAGTGTTTTGGGGTTTTAAATTAAAATGTGTGTATACCTCCGGAAGATACATATTTTAGCTACCATTATTACCACTACGATAATGCCGGATACCTTCCACCAAAACTATATTCCCATGGAATATGGAAGTTCATTGTATACACGTATACTAGCCAAGACTTACTCTAAGCGAAACTGAGAGATTCGTGTCAGAACCTGTCAGATGCGAGATTCTTTCAAAACAATGTAAATAAACACTTATTGTAATCACACCTTCTATCCTCCAGTTATTATGGTATTATACCAATTGCACTAAACGAAGAGGGGTATATGATCGATAATCTTGCGTCATTGTCCTTTCTCTTTATTTCAGAGGGGCAAATTGATTGAATACAACTTTGCTTACATTAGAGCGTCGCCGTTTTACATAGTAAAGGAAGTACCAGGGGATGTTCTTATGGTAACAGGGGCACACATAACACGACCCTTGTTTGTATTATGGCAGACAATGTTTGAGTATTTAGGTGTAAGTCTCGACTTCTGGGACACAGAGAGACACAATGGATTCTCTGTGGATGTCTCTACGAATACAAGGCACGAAGTACGTATATTTATTCATATTTTACGCCCCGCCCAGCCTGAGCGGGCAGATATATTATATATAACATATATATCGTATGAAATATTCCTTGGTTACTTTTCCCCTTAAAGAAATGTATTGACCATTGGTATAAAACTCATATTCAATCCCTCTCAATAGCTAAATGCATTCTCTTTGTAATATCGTTTTTCATAGACCTACCTCTGTATTTTCATTAGGTGTCCTGGTTAGACAGATACACTGGGAAGATGATCTTATACCCATATTTCAACCAAGACTATGTGTATGGACCAGACATTGCATCTCATTTCCACAAGCAATCATGGCGTGAAGGCACCTTTCCTAATCTAGACTCCGCCATGTTGATGATGTCATATAATACAGACTATAGAGATGTACATAGATTTGTTTCAACTGTTTGCGCCAGTTTGACACATGAGGTTAAGGCTGAACAAGACGCCCTGCAACAGTACGGTGGAGCTCATTTGATGCATCCAACCACGTGTGCCTGCTGTTGTTGCAGAGACCCTGCCAGAAGGTACACCCATATAAAAAGAATTCATTAATCAATTAATTCAAAAAAACGTTTGAAATGTTATTAGTTTTAATTTAAGGTTGAATTATTCACTTGATCCTAAAGAGGTGTAACAGCCATATTGCATTCACTAAATTACAAAGAAATTTCTATGTGAACGTTTACTATCATGACCCCCAGGAATAACTGTATGCCCCCTCTCAATCGTTTTGCCATGAACCTAGTTGCAACTATTTTCCTTATAACTTCATATTATATATGGGCAAGTGAAATTTATGAAAGGGAAACCTAATTCCTAGAGGATCACAATCAAACACTAAAATAAATGTTATGATGGACTTGAAACTTCTTAACTTTTGTTGTTTCTCATTGTTTGCAGCAAAGTGAAGAAAATAATCAAGAAATATGAAAAAAGTGATAACAATCATGCATTTTGTTGCTACTCAAAGACAATAGCATATTCTAAGGAAGGAACATTCAGATATAACTATGGAAACATAGAAATAAAAAAGATTCCTGTCTCAAGATCGTCAAGGCTTATGATGACAAACAACGAATGGATATGTTGTCTTGGATCTGATGATCCGTCATATACACCAATGGCTACCAAAGTTCCAATTGCATCAAACTTCTCTCAGGTATGTATCTCCACGGAATCGGTTAGAAATGCAGATCTTGGCCGTTTTTCGAAGTTCTGTTTACGTAACTTAAGTGAGGTATTAAATCGACGATTCTGTGGTCTTATGAACTATTTGTTCGCAAACATGTACATTTTCTTCGACATATGATACTAAAACATGTTTGTTATAAAAATGTCATGAGAATTTTGCCTACAACGCGTGGAATAAGGAAAAAAAGAGAAATTGCACCTTCGAGGTTCCGACATTTTGTTACCGAAACCAGCGTAATGGAGTGGATCACCAGTGTATCTCGTTAGTCTAGTTGAAAAAATGCTTTTTATCAGTCCATGTTATTTACTGGTTCAGAATATAAATATAAATTAAGACATTTTTCTAGAGAAGCATCCTTGTTGCATCTAGTGTTTGGAAAATTAGAAATTCTTATTGGAGAAGAAACAGCCATTTTGAATGTTTAATATTGAATTATAAATATTTTCTGGAGTTGGCATTGGTCTCAGAGAAGACAATGCAAGTGTACTTTCCCGAAAATAAGGACACGTGTATTCATACTTATTTTGTACCATAAAACAACATGTAAACATTGTTTTGGGGAGCTGAATTTCTGACTTTGTCTTGAATTTGCATAGGTTCTGTTCATGTTGGTATACTGTATGCCAATGAAAACCAAGTCAGCCATGTTGAATCCCGTTACTGAAGTTAGTACACCATTGCAGTGGCGTAGCCAGGATTTGTCAGGGGGGGGTTCTAATATTTTCTGCCAAATTTGCCAAATGTGCTTAAATTTTGCCAAATTTGCTTAAGTTTTGCCAAATTTGCTAAAATTTTGCCAAATTTGCCTAAATTTTGCCAAATTTGCTTAAATTTTGTCAAATTTGTTTCAATTTTACCAAATTTGCTTAAATCTTGCCAAATTTGCTTAAATTTTGCCAAATTTGCTTAAATTTTGCCAAATTTGCTTAAATTTTGCCAAATTTGCTGAAATTCTGCCAAATTTACTGTATGTTTGCCAATTTACCTAAATTTTGCCAAATTTTCTTAAATTTTGCAAAGTTTTCTTAAATTTTGCAAAGTTTTCTTAATTTTGGTCTAATTTAATTAATTTTTGACAAGTTTCTAAAATTTTACTTACATTTTGCCAATTTTACTTAAATGCCAATAATGGATAAATTTTGTCAAAGTTTCATTGTTGCCAAATTTTCATAATTTTTGCCCATTCGCTAAAATTTAAAATTTTACCAAATTTTCTCAAGTTTACCAAATCTCAAACAATTGCAAAAGCAAAAAATAGGTAAAATATCCCAAGACCAAGTTCATTTATTTGGGCAGATTTTTTTAATTTGGACCCAACATACCACAAATTCACAGAAATTAGCAGACATAGAACCCCCTGCCCCTCCCCCCAATTTTAAATCGCTTGTACAACGAGCTTTATAAACAAATAGGAGCCAAAAATCAGTAAACAACTCTGTGTGAGTGATCTTTATACTTGCTCTCTGATCTAACTACAGCATGAAAAAATAAGAACGTTGTAAGTAAGAATTTTATAGCGTTCACAATTTTTGTGCATCACGGCCCAGTGTCACAACAAAATTCTCTGCAGATTTAGATCAAAAATTAGACCATTTTGACGTTATGTACAACAATCAGATAATTTCAACTTTGTAGGTATGCTTTGTTTGTGCATTTGAATTCATTTTGAAGATATTACTTCAGTATTTCAGGCCTAAAGTGCAAAGAGCATACCTATTATCGCCCATTATTGATTAGAAGTTTTTTGTTTTTCTGTTTTTTTTAAAATCTTTTTTACTCAAAATGAAGCTATAAATCTCACATATTTCCATCTTGACATATAACTCAATTGTCTTTGGGTAATCAAAAACGATAAATTATTGAAAGACTGCAAAAATTTTACTCAAAGTTTGGAGGTTTGCATAATTGCCAGAAAGGGTGGGTTCGAATTTTTTTAGGCAAGATTTGGGGGGGGGGGGGTTCGCACGAGCCCTACGAACCCCCTCTCCCTACGGCCCTGCATTGTTTGTCTGCCCTACTGGGGATAGCTATACATTTCGTCAGTTAGTTGCAATAGGATTGGAAGACTACTTATGTTCCGAGCTACTTGCCAATCCAGAGGTAAGCTTATACTTCTACACCAATATCATCTATACTCATTACATATACAAAATACATGTATTTGTTCTATGATTGATTAACACAATCGTCTTACTACCAGTCTGATATATAGCACAACATACAACTTTTATGGATAAACAATATAATATATTTTTTATTTCATTCTGTTATCCAGACTTCCTCCTACTTTGAAGAACTCCTTTGGTGCGTTAAAGAAAATCCTGAAAGATTTGTCGATGAAGGGCATGGGGAGTTTTTTCTGACTTCAGTCATGGGCTTTGTGAAAAAAGCAAAGAAGACGAATTCAAAGGTTGGAAAGGATGCCTTACATAAATTCAAAGAAATGCTGAAAACAATGCAATCATCATCAGTAAGTAAATAGATATATGTTTTCCAGGCCAGCATAATGAATACTTATTGATACAATACACTAATTTTGGAGGCCAAAGGCTACAAACATTGCGCTGGTCCCCTTGTAACTTTCAAATTGACATTTGAGAAATTAATGCGGCAACTACAGTGTGTCTCAAAAAATGTTACACTTACAAAAAGTTCAACGCTTCATGATTTTGACTTTTCCCACAAAACATACTTAGATACTAAAAGACCAGTCTTTCTCCAATTCACACCATCAGATTCAAAATCCGTCCATGATTGGCTACACAGGACAGATTTTATAGACGCATGTGAAATCTGATTTGCGCCAACTTCTCAGTGGTTGGACATGTGGTGATCGATTCTTTTTTGGTGTGAATGCTGTGGACAGTGATATCTTGATATGATCAATGATCCAGTTGTTTTTTTCCTGGATAGAAATACAAGATTTCATTGTCAGAGTGTTCAATATTGTTATGTATGATGTCAACAGGATGGTGCAAAGGTCAGTGTGGGTCATCCCACTTTACACCCTTGGTTTTTTGAAGCGCCTCTGAAAGAGCTTTACAGTATCACAAACTGACCTAAATGAACTTCTGCAAAAATAATTGATGGTATCAGAGTGATATTACAATGCATGTGCGCATGGGCAAGAGTACCTCAGATTTGCTTTGGAGAACATGTTGGGGGGGGGGACCACATGTTTATGTGGATAGACCCAATGATTTTTTTATCGGTGATATTACAATGCATGTGCGCATGGGCAAGAGTACCTCAGATTTGCTTTGGAGAACATGTTGGGGGGGGGGGGGGGACCACATGTTTATGTGGATAGACCCAATGATTTTTTTTTTAACATATTATTTATTTCCTTCATAATCAAAAAATACACAAAATATCTACTACCTATCGCCATAGGCATTCTAGGTAGTTTAACCCTTTCCCGACGTGAATATAAGAGGAAAAAGTTGGCTGTGGTGACGGATAAGTAAGAGCAGTTTTTAGGGGAAAACTGCAAATTGCCTATACCCCGGGACCTATACCTTGAATTTCATCACTGAAATACAATTTTCAGTAAATATTATAACATCAGAACAACTTGTCAAAATTTGGTGTAAACATACTGAAAAGAACTGGAGATATTGTCATTTCATTGATGTATGTAAATAAAAATAGTGGTGCCAAAAGGAGCCTATCGTCCTGAAAGGTATAACAGAACAGGGCTCCATATGGAGCCTATCGTCGTGAAAGGGTTAAATTACAAAAGAGGATTAATTACAGTAATCATAGATGGTTTATTGGTAATGTGAGAGGTTGGGAGGGAGGGGGGTGGGGGTTGTCACAAGATACAAATGAGAAAAACATTAATTTGATGGAAACTTATAACAGGCCTGTACAAATTGCATCACTATATCTATCAGGATTTTCTGAGAATCAATAGTGAGTTCATTTTCATAAATTAAGTATTTGACCTGTTCTGTCTTACTAGAAATAAGTTGAGTATCAAACAATAAATTTTGTTCAAGAAGTGCAGTCATCATTTTATTACGTTCATGGGTATGGCGAGGGCAGGTTAGAATGAAATGCTTTGTGTCTTCAGTAGAGCCACAGAGGCATTTGTTGTCAATTATAATAGACCCAATTATAATAGACCCAATGATCATATGTAAGACAAATAAGAAAATTATAGAATGACTCGGTTAAAGATCAAGCTTCTACTCAGAAGAAAGTTAAATGTTAATGAAACTGTCCCCTTTTGTCATTTGGTCCATCCAATCACCTAGAAGTTGGCGCAAGTCAGATTTTACCATGGGGCACTAAAAGCTGTCAAGGACAGATTTTGAATCTGATGATGTCAAATTATTCAAGAAAGATTTGTCTTTTGGTATCCAAAGTATTTTTTAGTGGAAAAGTCAAAATTATGAAAGATATTGAACTTTTTGTAACTGTAACATTTTTTTGAGACACACTTGTATAGTGGATCAAATTCATTTCTTTAATCAATGTTAACAATTTTTCATTTCCATTAATGCGTTATTTCTTTAGAGAGGGGGAGAATTGAAGAAGTTAGAGGCAGCTGCCAAGAAACGGCTAGGAGATGCCCTACGTCCAACATTTAAGACATTATTGGACCAGAGTCTGATCATTAGACCAAACAAATTGACGCATAAGGACAATTTGTACGACCTCTGTGAATTGGTTAATGAGGAATAGCATAGGTTTGTAGATTCCTACACACACGTTACAGAAAAGTGGGCAATCTCCATCACACGTAACATTCCTAATTCTAATTCTATGAACAATCACCACACATTCTGATACTCATCACATCTTTCTGCTTTCAACTAGAAAGAAGCTATAGAAGTTCATACTCGTTTCCCAGTTTGATTTTCAATATGAACACATCATACCTTGGAAATCCAAGATGAAAGAAGACCACGATTGCTAATTATGAGCACCACAAAGCGACACTAGCTGACACGATATCTAACCGGATAAGGAAGATACAGCATACAATTGTTGACCTCTCCAGAGGTCAACTGGCAAAATTGTATACCGAGACTGTAAACCAAGAAACTACTGTTGACAGAGACCGAAGGTCGAGGTCAACAGTAGTTTCAAGGTTTAAAGTCGAGGTATATGATTTTGACGGTTGACCGAATGGAGAGGTCTACAATTGTTTTGTTAGTCAGAAGAAACTAATAATACACATATAGACGACAGTCATCAATCATGGCTTTATTTCACAATCTTTTCTCCACGCCAGCAATAATGTTTTAAGAAAATCTTAAGATAGTGGAAGCTAAACTTTCTGTTCTTGGCACATAACTGCGTACTCACTAGTAAATTAATGTTTATTTTTCGTATTTTTTTTGTATTTTTGCTATACTTGTGTACATGTCGTCTAGCAAAGTCAAAATATCACTTTCATCAACGTTTACGAAATGTACGTCTATCTTGTTTTTTTCTGTAAACATTATGACGTCATATTCCCCATAATTCACAAGTGTAGTACAGTAACATAAGCAGTCAATAATATGATATCCCATGATGCACATGTGAGGTACAGGCAAAAATGTTGACCGCTAATTGACCAATCAGATGCGAGTATTTACACTGAGGTACTAACAATATACAATTGTTGACCTCTCCAGAGGTCAACCGGCAAAATTGTATACCGAGACTGTAAACCGAGAAACTACTGTTGACAGAGACCGAAGGTCGAGGTCAACAGTAGTTTCAAGGTTTACAGTCGAGGTATATGATTTTGACTGTTGACCGAATTGAGAGGTCTACAAATGTTTTGTTAGTCAGAAGAAACTAATAATACATATATAGACGATAGGCCTAATCATCAATCATGGCTTCATTTCACAATCTTTTCTTCGAACCACGCCAGCAAAAATTTTTTAAGAACATCTGAAGACAGTGGTAGTTAAACTCTCTGTTTTCGGCACATCACTGCGTACTCACAAGTAAATTAATGTTAATTTTACGTTTCTATTTGTATTTTTGCTATACTTGTCGCAAAGACAAAATATCACTTTCATCAACGTTTGCAAAATGTCCGTCTACCATGTTTTTTCTGTAAACAGTATGACGTCATATTCCCCATAATTCACAAGTGTAGTACAGTAACATACGCGGTCAATAATATGATATCCCATGATGCACAGGTGGGGTGTTGACCGCTAATTGACCAATCAGATGCGAGTATTTACACTGAGGTGCTAACAAAATGTAATGATACATATTTATAGATGATATCGTAAGAAAGTACACTTCAACTATTCATATACAATATTGTGATATTGCTCATATCTGGAATACTCGTCAGCTCAAAAAATCAGCAATGTTTGTCTTTGTTTTGTTCGTCTAGATTCAGTAAAGATACATCCTTAAAAGGATGGACTATGGTGAAATATTCGAAATGAGCAATTTAAACTTGATTTGCTGCCTGTCAATGTCAAGTTTTGTACTTTATTTATTCCTGCAATCAATATAGAACATGTTAATTAATATTTATATCCCACGAGGAAGTAAAACTTTGTCATAGTTGTACACTAATAGACTAGTCAGATTTTACAGAATATAAGAACATTATCAGTTATCACACGTTTCAGCATGTGATACAGGAAATATTCCACGAAAGGTAATATTGTATCATCCACGAAAGCGAAGCTTGAGTGGTGATACATTGTTACCCGAGTGGAATATTTCCTGTATCACATAAGCTGAAACGTGTGATGACGATTTTATCACATGTCTAGGAATTTTGAAGCATTTTGATTTGGTCAGTTATGATTGTGTTCAGTACCCCGTGTACTTCTGGTAACTATTATAATTTTTGATTTCGCTTTGAAACAATATGACGTCATACCGTTGTATTCGTACTTGTTTGTGAAATAGAATGACGTCATATTGTTTTCCTTAGCTAGAAGTGATATAATCAGTGACGTCACATCGTTGCTATTGATCATCACTGGTTGCCTCTAGTAACGTGTGAGACGGCCGTGTGAGACGGGAAAACTCACACGGTAATCAACCAATCAGATTACTGGAATTTTACAGAGCATGTGATAATAGTAAGTTTTATAATGTAGAATAACAAAATACAGAAAAAGCGAGCTGTGATATTTTGTATGACTTATAAAAATAAATTTATTCTTATATAGCTATAACGTGTGTTGTGATATAAAGTTCATTCTGGTATGCCAGAGCCCCTCTTATCTGCCGTTTGCGTTTCACTTTGGAAGGATAAAGACAAAGGGGGCGCGGCTATTGCGATGTATAAAGTTAGTTATTATACAAAAAGTGACTGCCATATTTTCGGGAAAAAGTGCAAGACATTTTTCCCGAGGGAATATCCTATCCACTGACATGTCTGACACTATTTCCCGAAAATATGGCAGTCACTATTTGTTTTATTATATACCCCATATGTACTCTGTAAACAAAAAGAGAAGTCTTTTAATTTCAGCACTTAATGAGTATACGTAGGTTCTTATTGGCATTAAAGTGCATTTTGCTATTCGAATCATATAATCCCACCTAGCAGGGAATATAAATATACTAATGACTGGTCACATGACCTACCCGGTGATTAGTACATTTCATCTTCCCTGTTCGCAGGGATTTATGACTTTCCAGAGAATAAGTTTATCTATTTCATATAATGTGACCATGAATAAGCCAATGAGGATCCATAATACATATGGGGTATATAATAAATATACAAGATACGCGGATGGTTATGATTATTAATAAACAACATATGTTATCCCGAATTTGAGTTCTCAGATTTAGTTTTTGGGGCTGGATAACGAATGAAATGGAGGATTAAGATTCTGAGATCTCATACCAATGCACAGTTTGCGTAATACAGTTTGACCCAAAGGAAAATCTAACACTCAATAAAATCTCATAATTTTGATTCAGTTCGTGAAATCTATGACTTACTTCAACATGGTTTTGTAATGTCTGATTGCCTCATTTGAATTTGCAGTACCTCGTAATAGATAATTGCTATCATTGCGTGATGGATGACACTTGCACAATAAACTGCCGATATGTTTTGGTTTCCGTTTAATCAGTGTTCAACTCTCAAAAATGTCTTGACGAACTGCATATTAATTCGATTTAGTCCTGTTTATTATCAGCATTTACATGCATTATCGTTAATCATTGCAATGTCATTATTTCTCTGTGATTGCATGATGGTTTCGAGATATTCATTAAAAATAAATTAATCATCATTACATTGTAAATTGAAGCGCTCGGTTACTCATATATTTCAAATCATTATCGATGGTACTAGTTCACAAAGCATGAATACTATACTATAACTAGAATAATTGTTTTTGTAAAAGTATTTGTCGAAGAGTAGGCAGAAATAACCTTTCTAAAACTTCCATCAAAAACATCGCACTAACTTTTAATATTTTAGGAATACAATGAACGCAACAAATGTATGACTTGTATATATCGATTAATCAAAAAAGTGAAGGGATTATCTGAGTATGAAAGTTTACAACTGATTAGTTATTCGGCATTCTCGGTAAATGTTAAGGTGACCATTTTGCGCTCTCTGTCCCGAAATATCTAACATTTATTGCGATATTGTTCATCCCGTGTCTTTTTTGATTTGATTTTACAATTTAGTTTCGTAATAGGCGTACTTCATAAATGGCCAATGCATCTTACATTACCTAATGTAGCTGTCTTATTGAAATGGTTTGACGATTGTATTTTGGATACTATAGCTAGTTACACAGCATAGAGTTAATGTCATTTCAAATGTTATTACAGATAAAAGGGTTTCGAGGGTAAATGTCAAATGATGCTTTATCTTGGATGCGGAATTTAACGTTATAAGTCAACTAGCTAATGTATATATACAGAGTGGGTCAAAGGACGCTCAGATTTTTGATTTGGCGATAACTTTTTCAATAATGGCGAATATTTTAAAGATTTTTTTGATGGCGATGTAGGAATCAATTCTTCAATTGTTTAGGCAAGGACATAAATAAATCCTTAGCTGTTTCCAAATAAAAAAGGTTAAAAGACACCAGGGATCTAATTGAAATTAAAGAGTTCTCAACATAATAGCAAAAATTTGACACAGATATTAGCCATGGCTCAAAAGTACCAAACTGACATCTTATACAAGTCAGTCATCAAGAGAGACATGTCACCTATGGAGCTTACATTATTGTAACTTATATTTCTGATTAAATTTAAGCATAAGAGGGTATTGCGACGGATAAGGAAGATTAGATAATTGACTGGCTCAACATCGAGAAAAACAAACTGGATGACACTGGGTTTTCAAATCAAGTTTTTTTATGCTGAATCAGTTTTTCATAATACACTTTATGGACTTTCCCTATTTTTGAATCATTTTATTTGCCCCTTCCTGTAGATATGTACTACTAATCTCAGCACAGACCTTAATGTTAACCTCATTACAAAAGTATGAACAAAAAACATGAGACGGACTAGAAAATATTTCAACAAGATTTGAAGGACTTGCCCGTCTTAGTATAATTAGCATTTAGATTGTTTACGTACGGACATATCAGCAAATTACTCATCAGATTTATTCTAAACCTGGAGGTAGGTTCGATACCTTTTATAGTATTCATCTTTAGAAAACAAGTCTTAAAATAAAGGGGTTCATAATATTTGAGTTGACAACCGGTAAAAGTTTCATGATATCATCGGGAAGTTTTGAAAGCTCTAGATATTTTTCATAGACAGTATATAGTGAATCGGGTAATTTATAGATATCTTACAATTAGAAAAACACCCATCATACAAAATAATTAACAAATAATAGTTTTCTAAAGTGATTAGTTTTTTGAAGGTTTGAATGTTTTATATTTTCATATAAAATACAATGTTACATAATTTACACGCATCTTTTATAATGTTTAAAGTATATAAAATCAAGACACAACAAAGACACAGCAAGACACAACAAAACAAAAAATCAAGAAAAATCGAAAAATTGTATACAGCATATGTAACAAAACGCGTTTACCGTTAACTTCAAGATATTTTCATATTTGACCTCTCGGTCATTGGAAGCTTTCAAAGCTGTTTCCCCCAAAACAAAACATAAATATTTATTTCCAAGCAGAATAAACATCGCGCCTTTAGATAATAGATGCCAGGTTCAAATAACAATGATATCGCTTATAAGAGCTTAGGGCTAACGTATAATATTTTGCATAGATCACCATGTAGCTTAGGGGATAACATACATGTAATATACAGAAGCTAATGAAGAATTCTACAATGATATTTATATGTATTATATTCTTGGTAACAATAATCTTATAATCAATGACAAAAGTTACCACTCTGTGAGACATTTTGATTTTTCTAACACACGCTTTTGTATTTAAACGCTCCACATCCAGAAACAATGAGGTTGACCAATTTGTTTTTACAACTCACACATCTGGAAACCCGATTGATAAATACTACTTATCATGTAAAAAATTACATCATATAGTAAGAGAACAATGGACTAAATAATTATTAACGAAGATTTTTTGGGAATGAAACCCATGTTTGTCACATTTCTCTTAAATCATCTCATTTAAATCATTCTTGATAAATAAACTATGTATTTTCATGATATTAAGATTTCAACTTTTCTGAATAGAATGACACTATATGTATGCACGTTTAGTAAGAATTTTGGGTCGAACATTGGTTTAAATATGCTACTGGAGATTGTTTCATTTATGATCGTATGCCTGATGTATTTAAGTTGCGTTTCCCTATAATGTGTGACTTGTACAATCAAACCCCCACAAGTCATCTTCAAATTTTTGGATGCGACATACAGCGTTGTCTTTGAATAAAAAAACGATTTTAAACAAGCCCACACAAAATGCATTCATTCTCAGGTACTGTTACGTTTTCCACACAGTACAACTATTTGGTGATGTTAAAAATAGAAGTTAAATGAGGTATATCTAAATGACGTTAAGCATGTACTTGCAAATTAATTGTCTAATAGCTGTAATTCTAAATTGAATTTTTTTACCAATAATGATATGCAACTTACACAAATCCATAAAAATTCGGACACGAAGCTCCGAACCAAGTCCGTTGATTGTGTAAGGAACATACAATTACGAATTAATGAAAATAATTTAGGGTAATGTAATTTAGGTTTAGAAATACAGCTATTAGGTCTTTAATTATAACTATTTCACATGCCATAGCTCGATTTCTCATAAAATCAGTTAGTGACCACGAGGGTTTACTTAAATACGGGGTAGTGCAGAAATATTAACAATATTAAGCGCTCTTGAAGCTGCTAATGGAGGCAGTACCGTTTCAAATATATTTATCAAAATAAAGGACTGAATGTACAGTTATAGAATGAATAAATGTGGATTTGGTATCTGACGTTAAGGTAAGGTAAGGGGTCCTATTTTTGCACTACCCTGCATGTTTTGACATCCATATCACAAAATCGCAAACGACCTTACTTTCCTATGCAATTTCCGGAGAACATTTAAAGTCCAACAATATGTCAAAATAAAGTAAAATACACACATTCAGACATTACAACGATCATAATATAGATGATCCTCGACGAATATGTTCCAAATAAAACATAAGGCTGATAGACATGATAAAGTCACATGAGATCTGTGTAATATGTAAAACCATGTTAGAAAATCAGAAAACACGACGGAAATCGTTAGAAAATGCATCTAATTCTAAAACAGAGTTACAACTAAATATACCAAGTATCATAACGTATCATAAAGTAAACTAAATTGTAAGGTTTGCGTTTTTGTGACACGGTTACGTTGCCCTCGTATATACTTTGTATATTATTTTTTATATATTTGTTATATGTATTAACTGTGTTATTCTACAATAATTATTTTGATAATAATAATACTATGTTACAATGAGCAATATATATATATATAATTATAATTATAAGTTAAATATCCGATATGTTTAAACTCCGGTAATTAAAATCTGAGTAACTTTGAATATATAAAATATACAATTTACTGAATAATGTACACGGAACAATAACATTTTTAGAGTAACTTTTACAGAGTCATAATACTTTGTCTTTGTGAGTAAAATTATAATTTACTTCAGTAACGCCACGAGAAAACAAATTTTTACTTTAGGTACCTCTCGATGTCAAAACAAAATGGTACATTTAATAATTCATTTCTAATATTGAATAACTCTTTTTAGATTAAGCAGGTTTTCATTCCCTCATCAATCAGCATCTTCATTTGCATTGTTGACATATGGCATACCAAATATTATTGCCGATGATAGTATTATTGTTGTAAAAACCATCCAGAAGAATAGCCTGTCTAATACAGCAGCTAACCTGTGCCAGTCATTTCCCACGTGGATTTTATGTTCTTTATGCTGCTTTGGATTGAGTGCTGTTCTACTAGTTATTTCAACTGTGGCTGCCATGGCATCACGCCCATAATTATTCCACTTAACTTCTGTCTGACTGTTTTCGATAGTTTGATGGTTATCTATAGTCAAGTCTTCCATTTCAATCATGTGATTATTTTTATGCTTTTTTCGTTTGGGTTTCATGGGTTTGTATACTACATTTTTGGTAAAATCAAACGCACCCATACAAAGGAAACGTCCTAAATAATGCATGATCCACTTTTTGACCCATAAAGGTGGAAGACAGTCTTGCTGGCGGTCTGCATAGATGACAAACACGGTGAGACAAACAGACAAAGTAGATAATGTCAGATTTGTAGTTAGATACATGCCTGAAAATAAGAAAAAGTACTAGGATGATATTTAAATAAAAATAAAACGGTTGGTCATTACAACATTTCCTATCGAGGTTTTATTGTATTAAATAATGTTTATCATCCATATGGATGCATGGCATGATCGTATCAGAGTGCATATCATCATAAGTAAATTAAAAGAACCGGACAACAAATTACTAATATCTGACTTGAATACCTCAATCAAGGGGAGCAATTATACCCACATGTGCTACCTGGATAGGAAGAATGGGGTCGTTCTACATACGTAAATCAAAACTCATAAATTTAATTTATGTGTTTGTAGGACGACCCCACATCTTTATTACCCAGGGGGAAACCGTGGTTATACCAGGGGGGATCTTGAACTAAACCAGTTACAATGGAACATATTGTACCTACCTATTAATGGGTAGTACATAGAGGTTTTTGGTATTGAGTCAACAACGGATAACTGGAACACGTTGAAGGAGAGGACCACAGATATCCCCAACTGTATCTTCCCACTGGTGGATGGTGGCACCCAGAATGCAAACATCATCAATGTGGACAACAGAGCACATGGGACAATAATCTTCATCACGTGATATGCAGGGCGTCTTTTAAGATACACTACAAACTCAACCTTAGAGTATTTGATATCGGGACAGCATTCGAAAGCGAATGATGTCCATATAACGTTACTTTTATAGAGATCCCATTCTCCATTTTCCTGATAGTCACTCAATTCGACCTTATCAACATCTGTAGTGAGGTTCATCTTACCACTGTAGTAGGCCCATGTACCTATTACAAGGTTACACCTTTGTCTATCGAATGGGAAGTAAGATATGTCTATTTTACACGTGGTTTCATATACGCCACCCGGTTCCCAATGTACCAAACCAGAATAGTTAACAATTGCCCGGAATTCTTCGTAATATTTTTCCTGATTTAGAGATACAGCTCTGAAAGAAACAATTTATAACAAGGTCAACATAGATAAAAAGACCTGTCGTCGATATTTAGGTATACATATAATACTTTTATACCACTTTGATTTTCGTTTACGATTCGACGATGATATGGCTATTTTGTCAAGTAAATGCGTGATACCATACATGTATATACGCCCAGACGTAATAGTACTTTTTTAGATTTTAGTACAACTCATGTACAATACATACAGGTTTTGGTTTTTCGATGAAAATGAGCACTGAGAATTCTTTGTTAGGATCTATTTGAACAATATTAACATTCTTATAGATTAAGGATATTGAAACGTCAATTCTTAACACAAATGCATGATCATTATCAGGACATAAGTTGCATAATACACCTACGTACGTTCTAAAACATAGTATCTATTGTGTATTATTTTGAAAATCGGAAATAACTATAAATTGCACCATCAACTGACTTTGATAGAAGCATTATTTTCTGTTAAATACACCTTTTGAACTCGCCACCCACTTCTAAGGCGAGGGATTTTCTCAAGTTTAATAGTAACAGAAAATAAGTTGTATCAAGGCCTATTGATTACCCTTTGTAAAATGGTGTACTTCAGACCTCTAAAGGAGAGCTAGCTTTGTCTATACTATTTGAAAAATATTCCCTTGGTGTATTTTCAATCAGAAACCGTAGAATACAGGATGTTTCATATATATGTACTCCCACCATAAACTCATACATGTAGTATTGCCATCCTATCACATTATATATCATTTTGTTCCTTATGGAAAGTTACATAAGATTGCAAAGTTTCAGAATCCAGTGGTGTCCCTGAAAAAATATACAACGTATCAAAGTATGTGGGTACGCCTCATTTCGAGGGGAATTTCTGATCATTTCGAGGGCAATTTAAATGAAAAATTTAGTTCTGTATTGCTTATTTCTAACAGTTTTCATCATGGCAGCGTTCAGTCCACACAAGTGTAACAGTTATGCACAAAGATATATAGATAGGATTCATGCAGTGACGTGGCTTAAAGGGAGGTCAGGGACCCTGGTATGACATCAATCACTAAAAATGGGTATGCGACAAAGTGACAAGGTGAACATATCATCGGACAGAGTCCAAAAGGACTAGAAATTGCCCTCTAAACCCCAAACGTTAATACATTGTATCTTTTTCCAGGGACACCCCTGGATTCTGAAAATTTGCAATCTTATGTAATTTACTGAATGCTCTATCTTGTATGAATACTTGTATCTACAACTATTTTTGAGGTTATGAGTATTGGCTATCAATTGGCTATCAATTTCTAATTTTTTCTTCAATATGTATTGTAATGACTTCAGTATGAATGAAATGTCCCTTGGTCTTCGGTCTTCTTGAATGGTGGGGGAAAGGGGGTATTAGACATCGTTTCTTTTCACGTTAGATCATGGTTTTGGGCTATATGGGGTTTGTTTTTCTTGACTGGTATGCACTTAGAGTTTGCTTTTTCTTGCTAAGTTCCATTACAACTTTTGGTCCTTTCCCTTTGGCACTTGTGCTTATATATTTCCATAAGGAACAGAATGATATATAAAATGATAGGGTGGAAACTTTACATATATGAGTTTAAGGGGGGGGGGGGGTGCAGACATATGAAACACCCTGTATGCGTCGCAAAAAATCAGCTACTCTACATCAGGCAATAAAATACCTTATTATCAAGAAAAGGAACAACACAGGCATCTTAATGTTCACGTTCCCTCATTTGAATATATCGAATACGATTTTTTAATTCCATGAAATATTGTTTTTTCATATATATGAAATAAATATGCTGTCATTATTACATATGTGCAGATATATAGTCTATAGTCTATACTCTTTAGTTTAAGGAAATTTTCCATACACATGTTCAGGATGGCCCAAAAGTAGGTTTAAAGTTTACAGATATTGTCAGAAGAAGTGAGTAGCTCCCATAATACTATCATATTCTATCGTATTCGGGGATTCCCCTTAGCCATCCCATATGGTCATACAAGCCTTATTTGGATCTATCACATGATATTCAAAATGGCGGACAACGGTCAGTTGGATTCCTATATGGTCATGTAAGCCCTATATGGATCTGTCACATGATATTCAAAATGGCGGTCAACGGCCAGTTGGATTCCTATATGGTCATACATGGATCTAGCACATGGGTACCACGTGATCGAATATGAAGGCTGAACTTTGGGAGATCTCCCCCCTGAGATATTGTTGAATAAATATAAACCTACTTTTGGGCTAACCAGTATACTAACGAAGCAATTCAATGTGAGCCTATTGCTAGCTGTGCCACATTTCCTATCAATTCGGGTTATTCTTTAGAAGTCTGTCGATTTGCTTCATTGTGACTTTATGATATTGCTGCTTTTAAATATTCTATGATATGCATGTTTTGAGGAAACGTGTTTTGTTCTTTACCATCATGACCCGCATGCTTACGATCTCGTTAATTCCATCTCAAATGTATTTGGGTTTGAACAAGGCGCATCGATCATTGCAGTTTTATTAAGCCTTGAAATTGTGTCTTCCCAACAGAGCTCAAGAAAATTCTGCCTTAGTTCAAATGCAGAATGAATTGGAACATTGCACTCGGCACATACAAATTGAGGCTGTTCGGGGGCCATACCTGATCAGGGAAACTGAAGGCATTCCTCTCGTGTGAGGTATGGATTGCAGAACATGTCTGATACAATATATAGGTAGGATTAATTAGTTTTTCAATATTGATTTCTCCAGTCTATATCCACAACTGCAGTAGGAAGAGCTCATCTTGGGTCCACATTTGACTTGTTTTTCCTCATTTGGGACCCCCTGTAGTTCCCAAACAGATTTATCAATTTCTTTTTAGGTAACGTTATATCACCATGGAGGTCCATCTTACATCCAACTAGTAACAACAAACTGCTCCCACGTTTATGCAACGAACCAACCGAATTTGGTTTGATTTTATGGTCTCCAGACAGCCACGGCCCCCGCCCTGACCTACATTCTTTTCTTAGTTTGAATTAATATGAGTGATATGAACAACTAAAAATGCGTATACACGACGTTCCTATTCATTGTGCATAAAATTAGATCATGAATTACTATATAAATGTCCTAAAGGGCTATTTCACCCCTCAATATATGTTTAAAACTTCTCAATCAGGAGATATTCAAATATTTGAAATTATTTATACAAAATGTTGCCCACTTAAGAGGCCATGAAATCGTTCAGAAAAAATATAACATAAGATTTTTCTAAACTGATCCTTTTAATACTGTATAATGAATAAGTTACATTAACGAGGGTTGTCCGGAAAGTCCGGCTCAACTGGGAGTTATCTTACTCTAGATAAAGAGGAGGGAAAGCCCCAGAGTTTAAAGATGACAGACATAATTTCCTCTCTTGCTTACCACCTTCGTTCGTTCGAATTTTCATCGGCTAGTTATCAAATATTACACTTCGATGGGATGTTTTAATTGACATAGGCATATTTCGTACACCTTTCCTTATCTTGATGTGAAATGAGAAGCTATGATATTGGTTAACACGCCAGAAATGAACATAACATTATTCGAAGCGTATTTCTAAAATTTTGAAACCGCCATTGATGACGTCATTTGATTGTCGACTTTTGACCAATCAGCGACGATGTCATCTCAATACAGATTAACATTATAAGCGAATGTCATCTTTGAACCCTAGTGTTTCTCCCCCTCTGCTCTAGATATTAATATTCAAGGCTGAAATATCATCAATATGATATTTGGAGAAATTTTACGAATATCTTAACTTAGTGTTTTCAAGACTAAATTGACGATATTTCAACCTTGAAAAATAATAGCTAGAGTTATACAGGATTTAGTCCAGGACTTCTGAAACGTCCCTCGTCAATACCAAATAATTAAACATTTCCATATATATATACAAAGTGGGGCAAAAATGTCAACATTTCTGTTTATTTCCCAAATTATTTATGCTCATGAAATGAAAATTGCCCCCTGTGTTTTTGAGACATCTGCACTTGTGGAATTATCTCTCGTGTTTGAGGTCGACTCCATGCGCCTGGCTATATGTGAATGTGAGGGAATTTTTCATTTTATTACAATAATAAATACATTAGGAATGAAATGAAAATTTTTGTCTCACCCTTGTATGTATATAGTACCCCACACACAATTTTGTCGCCTACTTTGATCTTTTGCAGAAATATATCCAACAAGAGTTTGCTTATGAAATTTTGCATACTTTAATTAGAAACAATTTGTGACACTCAAATTTTTTTGTTTGGAGATTGCAGTAATATTGACGAAAAACAAGCAATTTCAAAATATTTATGTTTTTCCAAAATTCAACAAAAATTTCCAGTTTCTCAGTTTTAAAGACAGTTTTATGAACATTTTGTTTATAAAAAAGTATTGCATAACACTTGGTTTGTCTGTTCTCCAATGAGATCATTAGAACAATGTATGTGTTGGAGATGTTTTAACTCTTAAATATGAATGTTGTAAGTGTGGTTTTATTCTCATTGAATACCTAGATATGAGTACTTTCCATACAAGGTCACATATCATAGAGTTTGTTGGCTCAGTCTAAACCAGCTTATCAGGCCACTGAAAGACATCCCTATGTGGATTTCTAGCCCTTCTTCGCACAACAGCATTTGCTACTTGACTTTTTCCCACTCGTTTCAAAAAGTCCTTTCCAACAGCTCGCATCTCATAAAATCTAGAGAACATGCTTGGATTTTGTTTTATTTCACCCAAGGCATCACTAACGGCGAGCTTACACTCTTCAAAATTTCTTGGGCCCACAATCGGGTGGCCATATTCGTCCAATGGTCCACCAGGTGGCCGCCAACGGCACACCTTCTGTTGCACAGCATTATTAAAAGGTTCACATGGATTTAACATGTGGCCTTTTGGCGGTAACATTATAACATTCACTCCAGCTTGGTTCAGTTTGGCCTTTACTTGTGGATTATAATGCTGTTTAATAGGATTTTCGGATCGACCAGAACGTCCAAGTCTGTCCCAAATCAGATATGAACCTCTGGGTATAAGGCGATGTAATCCCCGTCCACCTAGCTGACCTGCTTTTGCTTCCGTAGAGATACAAAAGTTTTTAACAACTGTGTCATCTGCATTACGCTTCGATAGAGAAACTTTGACACATCCAACATTGGAAATAACAGCCAAACATGTGTAACGACTCGGCCGATATGGCTGACGGGCATATAGTTTAGAGCCTTTCCTTGTTCTCCCTTTAGAAGGCAGTTTATGTTCAAATATAGGGAATTCATCCTCATAGTACAAATCATTGAGGGATAGGCTTCCATCTGCAAATTTAGCATTCAATCCTTCAAGAAAGCCAAAATGCATGTCATAAATTTGTTCTAGATTTTTGTCCTCACAAGACACATCTGGGGCAACCAAAACAAATTCACCGCCATTCCTCCTGTAAATAGTCCGCTTTATCGTTTCATCACTAACACGGATTCCTGTTTTAATTTGAAATTGCTTGTTTATTTCTGCTATCTTGGAAAAAGGTTGATTATCAGTGATGTCAAAGAGTGTATGCTCCTCATCACTTGCAGGTGCAATCACAAACTTTGGACCTCTTTTTATTCCAGTTGGTATATTATTAATTGTTCTTTGCACAGTCCTCACACTTATTCCATGATTAGTTGCAACTTCATTACTTGTCTTTCCTTCGGCTATCTGTTTGAATATAGCACTACGTCTGCGGGGGGTATATGGCTTTGTACTTACTATTTCACTATTTGATCTACTAACTTGTGTTTTCCTCTTTTCAAGATATATTTTCCGAGCATTAGCTGCTCCAGATACAAATCCTTTCTGTCCTTTCATGTTAAGAAATTATAACTGTAGTCTGAGAATATCCAAGTTGTTTCGTAATTCAATTTGCCACAAATTGTTACAAAATTTAGCTTAATTTAGGGCAAATTTGTAAATATGTAGCAATTTAGAAACAGGTGTCAAATTATGGTGAAGACATATTACCCCAAACAAAAAAATTTGAGTGTCACAAATTGTTTCAAATTAATGTATGCAAAATTTCATAAGCAAACTCTTGTTGGATATTTTTTTACAATAGATCAAAGTAGGCGACAAAATTGTGTGTGGGGTACTATCAATGTGATGAAAGTAAGAAAGTGTAAGAATAAAAAACTTAGTATCTTCTATACATATATTTCGAAGGGAAAGGTTGTAATATAATATGTCAATGAGGATTGCAACATGCATATTGAATATGAATTCGAAATTAATTTAATATATACCAATTGGCAAAGTATATATGCATATGTGATGTCAATCATAATGCATAAGCGGTTCCATTTTTATTAAAGTTGTTATAATTTTATCTATGGTAAGGAAGGAGTTCAAAGGTTTAATGTCAGACTGATTTTAGTGTTGTACGTTTCGTTGTTTTAAAGAACCTGTATAATTGTGAAAACTACGTCAGCGATACCAATTTTTGTGACAAGTGAAAGGCGTGAGAAAATGTGAAAGTAAAATGCATATGCAGATATTCAGCCCCACCCTTCAACTAAATTAGCTCCCCTAAGATGGAAATCCAACGGGGAACTAGTGAACCAGTCCCTTGACTTTAACAATACAAGCCACATTCAATAGCATCTATTTGAATCATCATATAGCAAAAAATAGAAAGTAAAAATATATGCATACCCGCTCTTTTTAGACACAGTTTCAAAACTATGAAATAACATTGAAAATTAATATGAAATGTGCCCACATGAAGCAACAATATGACCGAATTAGGGTAAAATGCCTGGTTTGATTAGTATATCGAATTGAGATTGCGTCAAACTGCACTAGCATATATTAAGCTAATTAACACAAATTAAATTTTAAATCTAAAATGAAAAATGTGAAAACGCACCCGTTTATAAGAGTGAGTTCCGGCTTCCAAATATTCTTCGCCTCGATGATGAAATCATTTACATTATGATGTTTCTCAGGGGACCATGCTAAGCGCTCATCATACCATTCCTGAAATCAAGATAACATAAAGCATGGATTATTGACTATTGTATGGTGTGTCTTTTCCTCCGTGGCAATGTTTTGGCTCTAACATGTCTAAGGGGCGATGTCTTAAGCCCAACGATGCACATAATGCATCATAAGTAACAGCTGTCCAGTTCGATTAGGCGTGTTATCGCTGGAAGGGCTTAGCCGGATTCCCAAATGTGTCAAATGATGTGTCTTAGTTGGAGGGTTATTAAGAATTAAGTGACCCAAAACAACTGAGAGATGCCTAAACATACTTATTTTGCTTTAAATAAGCCTTTGTATCGGCACTGGTTAACGTTTTTATATCACTGTCAACATAATATTTATTTGCTCCACTAAATATTATAATCTAGGTAGTTTTCTCACAGATTGTAAAACATTGTCGCATCCCAATCTACCTGGGAAATCCTGGTTCGTCCAGTGTAATTAATAGCATGTGTGAAATGGACCTAATAATACGTGAGGCCCGGATAACAAATGATACATCGTTATACATGTAGCTTGCCTCTTAATTACGACAGTTGCCATCAAGACAACCTTAAATGGGATAATCAAAGGTAAATCACCCGTAAATAATACAGGGCTGAATCAAATGTCAGCTTTGTTATTTTTTCTGAAAGATGAAGATGCTACTTTATTTGATTATTTGATTATTGGAATACAGAACTGAATTAGTCACTGCTTGAAAATATGAGCCGATGATGTAGCATCTTGTATTCTAAAATACCCATATTTGACCAATATCTGAATTGTACGTATTATCACACGGGGGTAAATACTATCCATGATCATGATTGATAGCCTTAAACTACAGCCCTGATAGTACCGTGTAGCTCGTGTGCCAATTCTGATAATACATCAGGATTTGATCGAAAATACAAAATACGAGGAGCTGTGAAGCATGCGTTAAATCTCCATGCTTTATCCAACACACCACTTGGCCTTAATTAGTTTCTACCCATGATAGACCCTACTTCCAAAGCAAAGTAGCCAATGTAACGAATATAAACAATTTGACAATTCCTTGTGGTATTTTGGAGACTATAATTGAGCTTATCTTTTTTTCGACAGATCCAGCGATGTTCTTGGTTGTCAAAGATCTCTCTCCAGAACATTTGTGATCATATATTCGTCATTTGGGACTTGATAATGATACACTACATTCGGCAAATTGTTGCACCGGTGCATTCAGATTAGTGCCAATCCTGATCAACTCCATATTGTGAAAGGGCATATGGTCTAAGAAGCTAACGAAGACTTACTCACTTCAAGAGCCATGTTAGATTTTGAAACTTAAGGCTCTCCCACTGCCCACTGGACAGCTGAATAAAAACGACATTTAAAACACGAATTAATGTGATCAGAATCAGTCACAGCCTTTGACATAACGAAGACGTGACTGAAACGTACCTCAACGAAGTACACATGTTGGTCAATTACACGTACTAATTAATTAACAACAAGTATTCATTTGAGAGCAAACAATGAACAACAATCGATGCATAACAATCAACTGAACCACTGTTGTTCACCTCAAAAGTAAATCTAACAAATAATTGATGAAAACAGAATAATCAAAAGCATACAAGTTTCGATCCAGATATTCAAAAATGAGCATTTTTATCATAATATCTTGACTTGTCCTTGTATAAATATGCACATAAAGCTGATTTTACTTACTGAGACAATAACGCCTGTGCTGACCATCATCTCGCTTCTTTCGTTCTGGAATAGAAAAATAGAACAAATCTTGTATTTTTTGTTAACAACTTAATATAACGCAAGAGGCAAATTGGATAGCCTAGAGCGTTTTTTCGTTTTAAGGTGCGCACTGTAGTTACACCCAGTCACATCAAACTAGTTCTAAAACCAAGAACGGAGTGAGAATTAGTTTGGTGTGACCTGGGGACGGGAGGGGTAAACAAATGTAAACTCATATCCTTTTTATTGTCTATAAAATGAATAAAATAAAAGCATTTCGGTTAAAAATTTGCGGCGCGTTTTTTATCGCTATGCGTTTTATTATAGAGAGGTTAATATCTACTTATTTTGTTATTGGACATACTCTGAATACAATCATGATCCTAGGAACAAATCTACATTTTATGTTATCACGGGAGATTAGTACAGATATTGCAATTAAAGGCCTCGGCTACAAGTTATTTGTTTATTAGTTGAAAATTATGTTTATTTCGATGACCACTTGACCAGAATTTTGCTTTGACTGTTTTAAATTCTAAAATTCTAAAATTACGAATTTATATCAAAATGAAATAAAAGAAAAAGTTGAAATGTTTGAAAGGTAAAAAGACAGGGATAGCAGCTTTGCCAGGTACGCAACATTAAACTTACATTCAATCAATGTAGGCTTATTCCTAATTGTGGATTACATGAAGATAATGGACAAGTCCAGGGGATGAAACCTATTTAATCATGCAGCTTAAACACCAATGACCCGATTTTACCTTCCAGGGATATCTACACGTCACGCAGGATATAAGTCGATCTTTCATTTAAGGTCATCAGGTATAGTTTTTTGAGGGTATCCGGCTATTGTAATCTCTTTAATTTACATTAGATCTCTTCTGTCAGGGCGATCATTGTTTCAAGTGCAAGTTATAATTATAGACCTTTAGAGAACTGCAGTGCGATTGATTCTGCTATGGACCTCTATAGAAGTCCATGATTTTGTGAAGAGTTTGATTTGATTTAACTGACAAGTGAATGTGGCCATCTAATATAGGGTGATTGTATTGAAGGACCTACTGCCAGAAGCATAGAATTAATCAGCAATTAATACCCCCTTGACCTATAGCCATTGTCTATTTAATGTTATTTGTGTCTGGATAACCAAACCTATCTCTGCACAGTCAGTATATGCACTGTCACTAGTCGACTTTGGGGCAAGCCCAAATCATTAGGCGAGGGCTGTCGAGTTGCGTAAATGGGCTTTGTAAAAACGCAGCGTCTTAGACTGACCATCGTAACACCGGGGTTCGCGGTGTCCACACTCACACACCTCCATGCGATGACCAGTCTAACAGAAAAGCTTCTGCCATCTAACCAACCGCACGCCTTTTGTTTTTCCACGCCTCGTTTTGTTATTATATTGGGAGAGGGATCATGGACATTAATCTAGATTTATACAAGAAATACAAGAATGTATAAATCATGATTTGGGCTTGCCCCAAATCAACTGCATACCGATTGTGTATCTCTGCTCGTTTACACCGAGCATATCGGGAAGGAAAGAATACTAATTTTATTCCAATCGAGGTATTAGGACCGAGGGATCAACCAAATTCAATCAAACTTTGAAATAATATTTTCCAAGTTAGATATCACATTGTCTGAGATTGGAAAAAGTTCGCACATAAATAACTCATTTTCAATTGATGACATTTCTAATATATACAGGATTATTATGGTGTTTTTGGTATAAATATTCAGTATGGGGTTTGGAAGTATAAGTCTAGCTTGGAATGAGTGCAGACAAAGCTAGGGTTTGTAATTACAGTAATCACCCATATGGTGCTACAAGTACATGTAGTTACAAAGGTTATGTCATAAATAGAGGTTCTATATATTACATACCTATCGTTCATTTATTATTAATTTGGTAAAGATGGCCGAATCTGAGTGAGTCATAATGTAAAAATAGAGCTAGCATACAGCTAACAATGAATTAAATAGCATGAATGATGGAGCCGCAACACGTATAGAAAACAAAATGATATAACAGGATATCAAACTAGCAATCAGTTTCTGTTAAAGACTAGTTTGCCACTTGGCTAGTGACTTATTACAATTCCTGTAAATGTATCATCCCAAAGTGTCTTTCTTAATAACTCCCATATAGAAACTCATTTCCTGCAAAGAAGCCTTCTTATTGTTACTTTGATTATTGTGCAAAAAAGAAGGCGTTAGTGATGTATGATATTTATGGGGTATACATAATGGCCACTAATATGTCCTGTATGGCCCATCATAAACGTTGATATGATGGCCACTATCTTCGCTTTGACGACTGTGATATTGTCAACTAAAAGCCTCACGAATCCAATGGGAGTATTTTCATTAAAATACAGGTTATACAAATTTATATGCCCTTTTGTTTTTAAAGGTTGACAGTATTATCTTTTTTGCCGGCAGTTTAGTTAGAGCATGACTCGGGATATTGGGGTTTTGTTTTCCTTATGACTGGTTATGCTTTTAGATATTTCTTCTACTTGTTGGGTATATATTATTTTATTCCACATTTTAGTACTTGTACTCACATCTCTCTCATACTATTTTCTAAATATGTACATAGTTAGGATTAAGATATTACCTTCAATTTAAACAATGTTTGTTAATATAGCGTGGTTCGGGGTAATAGAATAAGGATGGACGAATTGTCAGTTTTGATCCTAAAAAGGGATTTTGACTTTCTAATCATTGTCTTTCGAATATAAGTAATTACAAGTCAGTAATGTTGAATGCAACTATGTTGATTTGGCCGTGACAGATGAGAGGCTTACTGCCTGACGTTTAGGTCTATAACTATATCCATGTGATTTCAATCCCTCCAACGCCATTAATAACGTGTAGCAATGGCCATATGATATTATGGTATGTCTGATTGAGTTCAATTGATATCATCTCAATAAACATATTATATCAGCATAGGTTTTGAAGTAGCATACTGGATTATGAAGGGTATGCTGATCTAATCGAAATGATGTCAGTTACATGTTTTTTGAGTTGGAGTTCCCCTAACGATGCCAATTCCGAATATTTATAGATATAGTGTCCTCCAAGTATGGTAACAGAAATTTGTTTGTATATTTGATATGAAATCAATAAATAGAGATAATGATAAAGGCATAAGCACATTTGAAAAGATATGACTGAGAAAACAGCAAATTCTAAAAGTTGAAATACGACAAACTGACAATGTTGTGAAAAGGAAGGGGCTGAAAGTGAAAAGACTGAACCATAGGTTGTAATAATGATAATCTATAATTTTATCCATTTAGGATTTGTATCCATATGGTGACTGAATTGAACACGTGTTTCTTCACCAGTCACCAAAATATTCTGAAAATTTCAAACATCGTCAATTTAATGATCATCTTTTGAATGGTAAAGATTTAATTTGAAAAAAATATAAACTGTTCCATATATCGGGTGTCCCCAAAAATGAGACACTTTTTGACAAGTACATTCTTTGATTTAAAGAATTTTTGAATTAAAGAAGGTATGTTAAAATAACAATTTTCATTGTAAAAGTCACTTAAAAATCCATTTCCAAGCAAAAATACTTCTAAATATTTATTCAAAAATATCACCTCGAATTTTGAGAATGAATGGATTTTGGATATTTGGGAAGAATGAAATGAATTAATTAGACATGACACACAGATGAGCAATTTTTACTGATTGACAAATGCTATCACCCGATAGCTGGGACAAGCACAATAGAGGTCTCATTGCAGAGCTCTGGTATAGGAATTTTTGACATGCCAATTTGAATTTCTTAGTACTCACAGAATATTTACCTGATCTTTTTTTTATATTTTTACAACTTGCTAATGATACTCTAAGACTACTTTGTACAAATTTTCAGTGAACTTGGTTCATCAGTTGCCGAAAAACTACTTGTCAAAAAGTGTCTCATTTTTTGGGGGACACCCGATATAGTTTTAGAAAAAACATCAGACACTTATTTTGTTGTTGATACCATATGTTCGGAATGGAATGAAACATCTATCTGAACCTCATTTAAACAAAAGGTTCGGAAAGATATTTTATTTCATTCTCAAGAATTCGTAGAAAGGAACAAAAAACAATTGAACCAGAAAACAAAAAATGTTCACAAAAACAGTTATAAATAAAATATTTATATAATCGGTGACCATTACATAAAGGACCGTGTTTTTACAGAATGTTTTCAATAATTGGTATAAGAGAAAAACAATGTTGAATTCAGTTCACCACATCGATACCAATCCTTTATACCTGGTCTGGTGAGTTTTCGTGAGACATTGCTATACTTGTCTATTGTTATAGTTTGGGGTACTGGGGTTTGGTTTCCTTGATTGTAGTCTTAGATGTTTATTTGTATGGCTATAGGTTGATATTCTCCTTTGTTTTTTATTATAGACAATTTGGCCGCATGTGTAATCACAGGGGTCAAGTGACAGCTGTTAAAATAAAGAAGCACACTATTTGAATTCATAGACTTTATCAATTGATAACTTCAGAAGTGATACAACCGAAAATAGAGATAGAAAAATTGGAACATTTCAAATCAAATATTTAATTTCTTTCCTTTGAGATTACATATCAAGGAAGACATGTAATTTTCTCTGTCTGGTCTAAAATGTCGGTTATCAAAGCAATACATTCTGTTCGTGAGAACTACAAGGGTTTTCACTTCGAATCAAACGATGTTACAGATAATGGGATAACTTCAAGAGCTTGACATCTTCCAATTAAAGAATTATATCGGCATGGGTTATTAAGTCAAGACAAATGATAAAAAAAATCACTGATCATTCTCATTTTGAGATCCCTTAAAGATAGCAATTGTTCGCTTGAAGATATCAATTGTTCGCTTAAATATTTCAATTGTTCGCTAAAAGATGTCAATTGTTCGCTTAAATATATCAATTGTTCGCTTGAAGATATCAGTTGTTCGCTTAAATATTTCAATTGTTCGCTAAAAGATATCAATTGTTCGCTTAAATATATCAATTGTTCGCTTAAAGATATCAATTGTTCGCTTAAATATATCAATTGTGCGCTTAAAGATATCAATTGTTCGATTAAAAGATATCAATTCAAGAGGTACGTTTATTCCAGTTTAGTGCAAGATTCACAAATAATTCTTTTGAATAAACTATCAATTGTGTACGTATCACTATTAAATAAATGTATGATGATATCTAATTTTCAGTTTATCGATGGCTGATCATGATGATCGACAAAACGTGAAGTAAATCACATGTATATATATTATGTTATATATGTTTGAATGTGAATGAATGTGAATGAAAGTATCAATGAAAGTATGTGAGTTTCATTTTTGGAATTCCCATCATATTCATATTTCAAGAGTACAGAAGAAGTATATTCCCTAAACTTTAGAATACGTTTTCTGAAATTCTTTAAAGGTTTTACCACATTAATTAGTTGATATCGATACGTTCTCATGTATTTAATGCCGAGTAGGGTGTCATCACCTTAAAATAATTATAAATGCTCATAGGCGTGTAAGTTTTAATCTATAAAACCTCGCTAAAATCATATAACGATATATTTACACATGCCCGTGGTCAGAATATGTTGAATTCCGAGGTTATGTTTTGTATACAAATTGAGTTATTTTGAAAGCAGTCCCGGTATGCCAGATGTGTTCAAGATCAGGAATCAAAACAATGTTTGGTGGCGATGATGTTGCCTTGGCGTGTTATGAAGGGTAGTAAAGAAAGGTATATAAACGCACTGTGTTTACCTGAGGACGATTGGCATATAAAATCTGTTAAAGGCAGAATCAGATCTATGGTAAAGAAAGGTATATAAACGCACTGTGTTTACCTGAGGACGATTGACATATAAAAATCTGTTAAAATTCGTATATTTCAAGTGCTTACATGGTTAGGAACTGCTGGCTATTTTTATAAAATCCATTAAAAGAACACAGAGGTCTAGAATTAAGACCATTGGCATTTTCGGTCAATAAGGCAAGTTCACCTATCAACCCTGGTGTGAAAATCGTTACAACATGCTTACATAGTGTATTGATAAACATAGTAAGGTTACGAATCCACGGAAACTGATGTAGAAATTCATATTTTTAGTTTTCACACATATCCTTAAACCATTTCTATTTACTTTAGCTTAAAGGCCTCTTGTCATATCGACCCTGAAAAGATTATTTGCACTAATTTCTATGACACTTCCAAACAAGTCGCGCATGTTTTGTTTAAGGGTTCTAGCCCTGGACTGATTATTCCTCTAAGGTGTTGCTTCAAACTTTACACGAGATTCGTAGCATCGAGTGCTAGGTTTAGGAAACAACGCCTGAGTTGAATGAATCAGACACAATGCATTGAGTCTTGGGTTTAAATTCTTTTCATACTTTAATTGCAAAAAAACTTTATACAATAGAAACTTTTTGCAAGGGTCAAGTTGTCACCTTGACAACCATTCATCACTTACCATTTGACCTGCATAAGCACTTCGCTTATATATTAATAGATTTTTACTCAACAATGAACTTGACCAGCTTATCGGTTTCATCAATAGTTTCACAAGAATCTTAATATTGGGTGGGCTGTTGGTTATTTATTTATTTATTTATTTAGCCTCCAATACTGAAGAATAGTTTGACAATTAAAACAATCTTACATTATACCTTATACTAATTAGACAATTACAATATCATGAATTATACATGTACACATGAGCAAAATTTAGACCCAAAATAACAATGGATACATTGGTAAATCAGCCAAAAAATCTTCTTTGGTACATAATTGAGACATTCTTACATGAAATAATCAAAACATAATCCCAATTTTCACTGGAAACTCCATGCCTAAAATAATGTTATATAAAACCTCACATGAAAGTTTCTTAAATGTAGGATTTTCCTTAATCAAATTTTCAATCATAATCTTTCTGATATCAACATAATTATCACAACCCATAATAAAATGATAAAGATCCTCTAATGGGTTATTTTTACATTTCTTACACTCCATATTTTGTCTAGGTAAACCATGGTTGTTAATTTCTAAATTATGTATACCACATAGCAACCTAATCATCATATTACATTTTGACCTATAATGGTTAGATTCACGAGCTCAAATCCCTTTTCATACAACATATGGGAGAGCGGGGAAAGATGCGCACAATAGGGAAAGAAGAGAAAGATTGTTTTCTTTCATGGATTAAGATTATTTATTAGAATTATTCATAAAATAATGAATATGATTATTAATAAAATCATTTTTTTATATTTGTATGAATCAAAATATGTTTTATATTTTTTAGATGTGACATGTGTACCATTTTAACCGCGTTACCCGGACCTTGTTGGAAATTCCTAAGATAAGACACACTTTAGCTTTATTTAGAATGAATTTTAAAATAAATTGAAAATGGAGGATTTTATTGGAATTATATCTCAATTATTTTAGATTTTAGGCAAAATATGCTAGAATAACATGAAGCAGAGTCAAAATATCAAAGCATTGCAATTTGCAGTTCAATATGCAGTAAGCTAGTGCAACATGGCAACTAAAAAGATACATGCGATATCTTTCAACCATAATCGTTTTGAAACAAAACACGTTTTGAAACTTGTTCCAACCAAGCAAAATCGGAATATGAACAGTGGGAACCCCGATCAGTCAATTTAGATATCTCTACATACCTACCTACAGCATTCCATTTTCACTGAATGTTACGAGATAATCGTGATTTAAGCATGATTAATGTTTTTTTTTTTTTTTTTTTATAATTTTTTTTATTTCAAAGAATAAGCATGTTAAAGCAATTGCAAAAAACAATTACAGTACAGTTACATGGTAAACCTACATTTAACAATTTTACAATACAGTACAGTGGTTAAAAATTTCGTCTTAAGAGACGTTTAATGTTAATTCGTAGTTCGATTGTGTCCCTATGTCTATATTGTAATGTAATACCAACGGACTGTGACAAATATTTTTCTGTACTATTCTGAATTTCCTTGCTACGTACAATACAAGGACAATACGAAGTAAATCAAGAGACCTTATGCCTGGTCGTTTGTATTCTGGAAGTACGATCGTGGTTATTCTATCTACTAAATATCTTCTCGATATACATAGGCTTTCTTCTGAAGCATTCGATATGTGAGATATCTGAACTAGGGGGTATTAACTTTATTTCAAACACGTGGCCCATCTTGTGGCTTCTCAACATGTCAAATTTTAACTAGAAACCTTCACGGAGTAGCAAATCCCATCGAACAAAACAGGATTTAACAAATAGCGGCCACCTGAACAATTTCGTTTTAAACAGAGCTCCCTCGTATCAGTACGTAACATCAGTACATAACACCTTTCAGGGCGATTACGCCGTGAATAACAATGAAAATGTATCTATGATTTTAAGAAATAAAGAGTATTTATTATATAAAAAAAAGTACGTAACATTTTTCACCGAATCCGTCAACTGGTATTTGTGTTATCAAAGATTACATTTTTCGATAAATGGTGGCCATTTTGAATTGAGCGGCCATCTTGAAAAGTCCTTCTCGACCAGAGGTCTTACACCCATAAATCATAAGCCTATAAAATTCGAATAGTCAACAGGTATCTGAGTTATTATATCGTCCGGACACACGGACGGACGGACGAACGGACGACTTTTCTATATCCCCCTTGAACTTCGTTCGCTGTCTATTTTGAAAAATATATACCTGTCACAGCCTGCAACTTGTAAATCAGTATTTAAGTAAAAGCTTCGACAACGTTTTGATGCAATATACTGTAAATTGTAGAGGGACTATTTTGTAAAACATATTAGTGATTTTCACCATTTTACAACATGCGGTTTACAGGGCATGTAATCATGTTCTTACTTGGTAAATTTTAATGCTAATGGTGTTCCAAATACAGGGTGTCTCGAAAGTATGGGACCCCCCGCCCAGTTGGCAGACACCAATGTCTCCATAATTAGTATGTGTCATACATCATTTTAAAGCTTATCCAAAGTTACATTGATTTGTCAAGTATCATGGTTCAACTCACAAATGGGTAATTGTTACAGGCATTTCGAAACTTAGTGTTCGGCCAAAAGTGAAGTTATCGTGAAAGATATGATGGATATTGAGTTGAAAAGAGGACGTTAACTAAGGGCTACTCCAAGAAAACTCCTCTTAAATGCCTTAGGAAGTTTTTATGAGGATTACAAAATAACACGCCCTATTTGAAGTGCGTTTAAGGTCATATATCTGAAAAAATTGCTGCTGTTGATGTGGCCAAGGGAGACACACTGACTACTAATTTGATGTAATATATGACACATACTATGGATGCATTGGTATATGCCTGCCTAGAGGGGGGGGGGGGGGGGTCCCATACTTTCGGGACACCCTGTATATGCACACTGATTTACAGCAAATAAATGATGCAATATTTTATGATAGTAAAATCAACGTAAGAATATGAATAATACAAGAAATGTATAGGGTTATTAATACAAGAAAAGTATAGGGTTATTTCCAATGTTTTAGGACACTCACCAAATCATTGATCCTCATGAGCAAGAATCTTATATTGACTTGCACACTTTCGGTTGCGTTGAGCACTGGTCGAGCGGATGGGTTGTAGTTTCTGAACAATATTGACATCAATTTCTCTTCAGCTGATCGTTGATGCTGTAGGTCATTATCTAAAACAAACCAAAAGCAAACATACAATTACAAACGTGTATAAAACTCAACTACATTTCGGTTAAGCGAACTTCAATGTTTTGATATATCGTCATTTCAAGCTTAGATTGATTTTCTTATACAGCGTGAGTACTATAACTACTCCATAAGAACTTTGATTCCAGTTTTTAGAGTGAAATTACAAAAGGAAATCCACGTGGATACCGAAAAAGCAAGTTTCTCTGATGATTGATGTGATCTTATTTTACATATAGATAATATGTACAAGATTCAAGAAGTAATGAATATAATAGTGACATACAAAATACTGTATTTATAGAGGTTATTTACTGGGAAGGATTGAATATGGGTTTTACACCGATGGTCAATACGATTAACATCACATTGGCCGAGATATAAAACCCATATTCGAGTTTTATTTACTTTTTACTACGATATTCAATGATCTGGGTGATTTGGGTGATTTGTTATCAATACCACATGATCAAGGTGACCATCCAGGCCTCGTATATCGCGAGCAATAAACTCGTTTTAGAAGCGGGGCCTTGAGAGATATGATAAAATATAGTTATTCTTGAAGAACGTCGTTGCCTTGCAATTGAAATGGCCATTGTACTATGAAATAGTTGTACTGAGTTTCACTTTCTAAAGTTCCATAGAAACGTTATATTTCAATTTTATCATATCTCTCGAGGCCCCGCTTCTAACATGAGTTCGTTGCTCGCGATGTCAGCGGGGCCTAGATAGACACCGTAGACACACGAGGAAGATAATGAACTACATAAGTATAATATTCATTAAACTTTCGTTAAGTATTCATATAAGCAATCAATAATTTTACTTTGAATTAAGTATACCCAAGTATTTTGTCTTTTTCTTATTGAACATTTCAAGTAAAAAAGACAAAAAACGCCGGGGAATGAAATAATGGGACTTCCAGATTTAAATACGGGAGCGACAAGGTAAACACGATTCTAGGGGGATTTTCAATATGAATTCATATACCGTGGTGTTATTCACCTGGTAGAAACAGTATCATGGCCCATGATGTAATATAGACATTTATGTCTTACATGAAATATCGATACTGGGCCCTGGTGTTATTCACCTGGTAGTAAAAGTATCATGGCACATGATGTAATATAGACATTTATGTCTTACATGAAATATCGATACTGGGCAAGACCACTTAGGTGGACCAGATCACAATGACACAATCTTCATGAGAAAGTGCACGAATACAACATTATACTATTTAGCTGAGCAAATGAGTGTCAAAAGAATGACGCCATTTCTTCAAGGCGTTGAATATACCATTGGAAAGGGAGTGTTAGGAATAGGGAAATAATAACATTACATAACTCTGTCAGACTCCCTTCAAATGGTATATCGGATCCTAAAGAACCCATTGCGTCATTTATTTTTCACTTCGAGGCTCTCATTTGTTCAATAAAAATGCAACAAATTAATCCGCAGTAGAATTAGTCGTGATTTGATATACGTGGATTTGCATCGTCTACATGGATGATAAAACAAATATATCTAGTCAAATTAAATGATGCGAGTGTTCTATTACTCCACCTCTAAATCGTCTATCCGCTTACAATATATCTGCCACCTAACCCCCAGAATTATTTTTATATTTCTTGAAAATGAATATAAATCAATTACAAAAACACATTGAATATAGAAAATGTGAAGAGTAACACTAAGATTACAAAAAGGCAACGTCTGTTATGAAGAATCAATTTGTCTACAAACAGGAATATGATAAATTGGTTATAATTTGCTAAATGAGTAAATCTGTTCTAATAAGCTCAATGTATAAACAATTTGTAAATTGTTTCAAAAGATGTTGATGTTATGAAGTAAGGCATCAACGTTACTCGCCATATTGATTGCCCGTGGTCCTTTTACAAATGAGTCATAAAGGAATAGATATGATTTGAAATGGTTTGCGAAAAGAGGAAAGATCAAATAGTGTTAATACACAGCTGTTAAAAGAGAACATTTAAGAGTATACAAACGGTTTTACGGTAGCATATACCAAAACATCCTGAACAGTAATCGAACAAAAAAGAAAAAATATGCCCATAACCACTCTCAAGTATTCAGTAATCACGATACAAAATCACAACTCCTTTGGGTAATTTATTACAGTTCAACAAAACAAAGAATTCTCTCTCATCAAACATAATAGACGTGGATTCAGAGTATACGAGACAGACAGAGCCCAATCTCAAAATCTATGAGACTGTCGAAGAGCATCCTCGGTCCAAGGGTATTTCACTTTTTACCATAGTTGCTGTAGCAGTGAAGCCCAATCTTGAAGAATGGTCGAAGGGTCAACAAAATTGATAATTTTTATCGCATGTTTACTTTTCATTATGTTTCCAGTGGTCTCCTTCGTAGCGTTTGATTATGTCACTTTAACTTTATCATTAATCCGGCAGTTTTCTTTTCTAGCACTCGCGCCCTTGAACATTTTTCATTTATTGTAGACGCATCTGCTACTAATTCATTAATATAGCTTTATCTTATCTATACACTGTTTGAATGCAAAGTCCCCAGTCATACTAATGAGTTAATGAAAATGCCAAGAGGGAATTTATTTGAAAATGCAAACCTCTGTAGATCATACGTGCTTAAAAGGGGATCAAAGATTTTATTAGAGAACACAGAAGGAAAAGGGCCATCCAAGAGAACAAAAAATCTCAAATTATGATCTAACGTGCAAACTACGATATAAAATACTACAAATATTTCCATTTTGACAATAATCAGATCTTCGACTGCGAAATGTGCGCTATGTTGGATGTTAAAGATTCTGCGATGCATTGTAATCGAAGTAAACCTTCAAGTGGCCTACTCTCCTAAACGTATGCATGTCCATTGGATAGACTTCCCCCTGTAGTCATTTGAGATTGAATTGTGAAGATTGTCGTTTCAGTTTTTATACCTTGTTGAATCAAACATGTTGGTGGGTTCATGAGGTTTGTTCACATGGGTTTGACATTTCTTGCGTTATATCAGTTGAAATTCTTTTATCGGAGGTTGTTCCAATATATTGTATCATAATTTGTGTTTTCCAATTTAGTCACCAAATGAATTAAGTCAACGAGAATGATAAGAAAAGCAAAATTAATTCTGCTTTAGTGATCATCGATATATTGCCTCCCTGGATAAGTGCTCAATTTGATTGTCCTGACAATGAGAATATTTGTCATGAAAGTCAGCTATATGAGACGTTCATTCCAGTAATGCCAACAGAATTAATACTTGGTCACGGAACAACAGTTGCGGCCGATAATTAGTGGCTTAAGCATGTAAACTTTAGATATATGAGCAATTTGTTGGTGTTAAGATCGAATTATTGTGAAGCTTCGCCATTCTCCTTTGTAATGATAATAGCCATGGGAGACAAAATTAGATGTACGATGGAGGGCTACATATCTGCACAGCTTATTGCCTAAAGAAAGGCGCCCTTATTCAATCTACTATTACAAGTTAGTTCCTCGATATCATTGGAGGATCCACAGTCTCCACGATCCCCCGGGGACTCTGATAAATCAAAATGCCCCAATACATATAGTTTAGACAATTGGAATACGTTGTCACTGATCATTGATCATCAATCATATCTGGATATCCAATATACGAACAGTGAAAGAATACCATCAAAGTATGCCGTATGAGCAATGCTGATCTTTTAAAACAATTTACTGCAAACGATAAGATCACGTAAAGATATAAAGGTTGTCGTAAATCATATAAATGTTGATTTCTTAACTTCATTGTACCAGCCTGTATAAACAGCAGATAGCATTTGGAATCGTAATCATTGATTTTCTCAATGATTAAACTATTATCCAACAGCTGCCCTTCAATATGATTAACGACCTATTTTCAATTCCAATGCTGTAATAGGTAATTATTAATTGTGTAGATTACGTACGGTGCCATCAGTCACGAGTATCATATGAATACAGAGGCGCTAGGCAAAAGTGATAAAGAACAACGTAAGGACCGCGGGGGTTCGGTGGGCTCGAACGAACCCGCCCTGTCATGATTTCCCTCTGAGAAATTTCAAAGCAATAATCAGAAAAACAGTGAATAAATTCATATTTAATATAATATGGTGAACTATAGAGGCCCATTTCTTTTAAAAACATGGCATAGTGAAGTTACACTTCTCCCCAAATTTAAAGCCATGGACTTTGTTGATCGAATTTAAATCATTATGTTTTTACAGTTACGTCCCATATCTGCACGGTCTCAAAACGTTTTTTCTTAATATTTTACACGTGGCGTACGATGAGCACATACGACCAGAATCTTTAGGTCAAAGGCACAGTCGTTCCGAGTATAAGGAGGTTAGAATGATCTATTAGTCGGGACTTTATAGTTAAAGTCCGAGAATAGTTTAGAGATCAATGAAGTAGGTACTTCATTGATCACAACTTTCTCAACAAGATAATACACACTAAAGGTACATTACACTAAAGGTGTATTATCCATCAATCTTGGCGATTCAAACAACCCCGTATCAAAAATCGATCATTTAATACCTATCTACTCTCTAAATTTGTGACGTCGTAGAATCACCCGCTGATATACTATTTTCTCCCTTAAATCTGGGGACCTTAAATAGCAACCCGGCCTCCAAAATAAGTGTAATAAAACTTTACTATTGACTTCATGACATAATGTTATATACCTAATTGTTTGAAATTGTATAACCTTTAAAATGATATGTAAGTCAATGTACCATATTGAATGTAACTAATTTTATCCTGATTTGAAGTTGGGTATTGTTTTTTGTTGGCCCACCCTGTATATCACCCGCTCATTTGAGATATCAATTATATTCCTGCATGTTTTTTTACCTATGAGACTCGCAATCCTTGATTTTCAAACATCTGCTCTCGCATCTGCGTTATCTAAACGCATGGCTCAATGAATTGTGGATGATTTGAAGCACGAATGCCTTGTATCAAGATTTTAAATGAGGGTGGTTGCTCATTGTGAATGAACCCGTACTCTAACTTCAATTAAACCAAGTCGCCCATCTTTCTCATTTGTCAATATTAGATATATGTCAAGAACTGACATTGAAGGATAAAACAGACCTGCGATGTATCAGTGGTTATTAAAAAGAGACCATGGGTATCGAGTGTATGTATATTGTATAACAAGGCTACCTCCATTTAGCAATATAGGTGAACGTGAAATTACCAAGATGCGAGTAGGTAGTTACCAGTTTCAGCACAAGATATACTGGCCAGATCATGATTCCATAGGTTATGGTAGCAATGTTTACCAGCAATATTCTAGTTTTTTTAGTAGATTACTAATTAGTAGAATGTTGATCCTATTTTTGCTTCGGAAAAGTGCTATAATCTGTGATATGGCAGGCTTAATTGAGGCGTATTGCGTGTACTGCATCATTCATTTGTCCAAAATGAGCTGAACTAATCAATGTTGTGCAATTGTAATTAGTAATAAACTATAATTCATTTTGCTATATGCATTTACTAAATGAGTATTTTCCCAGCTCTAAAAACACCAAACTATATATAAGTGTTTGGTTTGAAACACAATAAAATCTTGAATCTGGAATCTATATAAAATTCCCCATCTACTTAAATACTAGGTGTATATCTTTTTAACCAATGGAGGTTGAAGTAGAGACATAAGTAAAGGCTGTTCAATTTTTTTGAGTGGAGCAAGTTTCGTCACTGTAGCATATCACGTATTATCCCATGGTTACAAGGATATAGATCGAATATCACGTGAAGATATAATTGATACGTGGATGAAGATATCATATTTTAGCAAACAATTCCCAAACCATCGAATATCACTTTTGAAACCATCGAATATCACTTTTTGAAAGGTGATATTCGATGGTTTTAAAAGTGATATTCAATGGTTTCAAAAGTGATATTCGATGGTTTTGATTTTTTCAATTTTTTATTATTAATTCAGCAAAACGATTCTTTATAAAAAAAATTTGGGATCTAGATTTACGGCTTTCGCATAAAATACAAACCACCCTGTCACGTCACATTTATGACGTTCTTTGAATTATTGCAATCAAAATGTTGAAATAAATAAATTTTGTTGAAATTTATCTGACTATTCAATGTTCGCTGGATAATAATTCCCAATGGGATAAACGGACAATCCTATGGTTTTTCAAAAATATCACTTATATCCACTCATGGATATCAGTATCTTCACTCACTCGCTGCGCTCACTCGCGAAGATATCAATATCCACTCATGGATATAAGTGATATTTTTTCAAAGCCATGGGATATTCCTATATGATCCGTTTGCTGCCCATATAAAGAATGTGCTCCAAATGTGTACCAATGAAAACACATGTGTTGTCAACAACATCGCGCAAAGTGTGCAATCTGTCTTCAGAAAAGTCGTAGTTTTGGGTAGGTTCTATAAATGGCCAGCAAATAAACCATACACATGCAACAGTGATGAAACTTTGTAAACTTAGAGAACCTTGGACCAACTTTAATTATGCGAAACAAGATTTGTCATACTCTACTTGTTGTTAAGATATGCATTGTTAGGTGGGTTTCATTTTTATGAACACCCTGTACTACAGTATATACATCTCTTTAAATGTCACAATCGTTTTAAAGTTATTTTAAAATAATTTTGTTTCCGACACCTTATATTGGTTCTAGGGTGTAGAAGTTAGAATGACCCAATGTCTGTAGTCTCTTCCTCATTGATTGTTTCAGTCTTAAGGAGCAAGGATGTCATCATTAATTCCAGAGTGTTATAAACTGAACAGCATTGATATCTGTTGATAGTTATCGAGGTGGTTTATATATCAAAACATAATAAATTGGCGTATTTCTAGCTATCAAGGTTTTTGTATGTAGTTCGAAAACTCAGCTCAAAGAGATAGTTTGAAAAGAACATTTGCCAAATTCTTTGCCTCGAATATGTGATTCAAAAAGTTACTAAGTGTGAAAATTTTGTGTTCAATAAAATATTTAGTGCAACCACAGGGGTGGATCTGGAAAAGAACAACGGGGATGGGACCAAATTTCAAGTCTGAAAAAGATCTTTCCGCCCCTTAAAGATGTGAGGCCACTGAAAACCAAAGATTGGGCCCAAAGGTTGAAAATCCAAGGCCCATTCTCTTAAAAAATTGGCCTAAAATTGAAAAATTAAGCTGAAGCAAGCCAAGTAATGTCCAAACAGGCCTAATTGGGGCCATATAGATTATGTGTTCACCCCAATTTTTTCGGGCCCATCTTTGGAGGAGGGGAGAGGTGCACCAGGCAATTAACAACTGAACCTTCAATATCAAACGTTCGTAAATCAACTGTAAATGAATGAAAGGTCATTTGACAAGGAAGTGTCCTTTCAAGGGCAGTTTCTTAACAAAGCGATTCATAAAAAGAAGATAAGTGGGTTACATTCACTCTCAAACTATTCTCGGATCTTCCAGATAAGGTACCTAATTCAACTAACGTACCTAACTAACTATAATCATTGTTGCACATGGATACGCTGCAACCTTAATTATATCATAACATTCATCTTTCTCGTCTGTCTTCATTAGTAATCTGTCGAGAACTGACATTGAACGATAAAATAGATTTGCGATTAGAATTCAACATATTCCACTAAATAGTTGATATTTCCTTTGTAGCATTTTTTCATGAAATATGATTCGAATTTCTTTATCAACCATTATACACTGGTGGATTCCTAGGGTGGGCCTAGAAAATTTGTTTAGTGCCCAAAAATTGTGTAGCGTCTTTTATATGGACCCTTTTGGGCATAACTTGGCCTTTTTGGGCATTTCTAGGCCAAGTTATCAAAAATGGGCGATGTCCATATTGGGGTTCACAATGACAAAGTATTTTGGGTTTGTTTTCTACAGATCAGATATTCCAATTTAATCTTCCAGGGACTCCCTAAAGACACAACTTATTACCAACTTCCGTTTTTTACCTAAATTTGTGTCATGTTTCTCACAAATCGGAAAACATGAATCAAAAGTGCGAATAAAGAGAAGAATAAATTGACAAAATTCATCAGTAGTAATTTGATAAACCAAAGAGGACTGTGTTCACTTAAACTATAATTGCATTTAGTTTTTGCGCTATAGATGAACTTTGTCACTGCTGTAGTCGATCTCATAGAATAGTATGCCTATTTTGTGTTCTCCATCAACTTCGTAAGATGTAATCAATTTAATAAATCTATCAATAAAAAGGTCAAGCTTGGGACTGGTCGCGTAAAAAAGACATGAGTATGATATGCTTATATGAATGTTTTGATTCATTTGCGTAGCTAGATAAAGTAAAGGTTTACCACATCATCATAACTAATAAAAATAAATCTCTTGAATATCAACTCATGTAGTCACGGCTCAGTACACTTCGTACTAACAGTTCAAGACCATAGACGAGGAGCTGATGTACAAATTCAACATTTCCTCGTATTTTCGATCGTTGATGAGCAACATATCACAATACTGCTTATAAAAAACAAAAGTTGCATACCAGTGTGACCGTAAACTTGAAAACAAACACCAGGAACATACAACATAAATAATGTAATACAATTAACATACTTATCGAAAACCAATCTGAGGAGTTTTCGTCAGCGAAAAGGTCTGTTTCTGGTTCTGTAGGAGGCATATCGATAGCTATTTTATCTACTGATTTGTCTAAATAGTTAATGTCACGATTTGGTGTATTTGGTGTATCATTGGGCATATTATCTTTAGGTGTTGTATTTGTTGTGCTCGAAGCAGGGGTACCTTCGTTACTGCTAGTATGGGTTGAGTTTTTTATCGGTGTTGGCGTCGTGTCATTTGATTGAGTTGAATTTGTACTGTTACTGAGCGATGGGCTATCAAGCATATCTCCAGTGATATTAGGTGATGCATTATCATTAATGAGTTCAACTATCGACTCAGGGGTTGTTATTTTACTCTCTGTGAGGACACGTGTTGTAGAACTAGTTTCAACTGACATACTTTCAGTTGAGGAAATTTTACCTCGATCGCCATTCAATGTTGAACCATCCGTAGGTGATTCCGCAATGAGACCACGCCGCTCGGGCTCAGTTGTAACAAGTTCTTTGTCAAATTGTGTTGAAACTTCAGCAGTTGATTGAGCACTAGTTGTTTCATGGTCTGTATTACCCATTTTTGTAACGTTTTCTAAGGTGTCAAATTCACTGTTGACTAGTTGTGTAACTGGGATCGAATCTGTTGTTAAATTATTGTCACTTTTGTTTGTACTATTGTCAATATTTTCAATAACTGTAGGTGTTATGTTTGTATTAGTAGTATTGGTGGAGTTTACTATAGTTGTTGGTTGTTGATAAATTGATTGTTCCGTCAATTTGCTTACATAACTTTCTGTGCTGTTTATCGCTTTAACACTCCAGGGTTGTCCAGTTGATGAATTATTCATATCACCAACCGTTGTATTACCATCTGTAGCGTTATTGTTCCTATCAGTGACATTACAGACAACAACAGCCATCAAAATAACGTAAATAAACCAGGTTAGTGTCTGTCTATCCATTATCAATATGTGTAATGTTGCCAACATGACCGAGTTGCGTCTTGTAGAAGCCAGATCCGATAGCCTACTGGTACTTACATCTGATGGAATATAAAGCCAATAACAGGAGACACCCCAGGGCGAAATTATAGTACTAACCAATTGTTGATATTCTGTTGTTTTTCCGTACAACAAGGCTTTAAGCTTTCCGTCCCCAGGGCTAGAAATGCCAAGATGTCATTTCTGTTACATACGGCGTTTTTGAAAACTGGCCATTGATGATCTTCAGTATTGCAATAAAAGAATTCCGTTAGGATGTTTTATCTCTTCCTCTTCATGTCAGGTCCAACAGGCGCTGATTCGTCAATAATATTCTTTTATAATTCCTCCTCCTGTTATTTTGTTTATAAGTGATTTGAATCGAGGAACTGTTGATATTTCAGCCAGAGTTCTATACCAGGTGATGAACTTGCATCAAATTTAAATACGGATGTATTTCCGTTCAAAATATCCTCGTCGTCTATCAAGATCCAAATTGAAGCTCTGTTGATTTTTGATAGAATCTGTCTTTCATTAGTATCTGTATTGCTTCTGTTATTCGAAGTTGATTGAAGCGTGTCTATTAATTGCAATCGAAACTTAGATTTGGCTGCAACATTTAGGAAAAGTCTGTCAACCATCAATGTCAATTAATGTCGACACAGTTAAATTATTTCGATTAAATCAGACGTGTATGAGATACTATTGTACAAACAAGAAGTACAGCGTTCCTTGGGTTGCTTTGAGATACTCTGTCCAATATCACTAGATTCCTATAATGAACTCTCTCGTCGGCTTACTTCAATTCAAACGTGTTAGATATATAATCCCTCCGCCTTCATCTAGTTAGTTACATTTTATATCAGTTTAGAAGTACGCCCCATCTGGCAACCATGATCTCTCGTCAAACAAATAACTATTCATATTAGTTGTTTTCACTTTATTTCACGCCATCGTTCACCGCACTTTGGAAACCATAACCAACGTATGTGGTATGGAGATGTATGCCAGATGAAGAAATGGAAAGTTACTGAGTTTTACATTGGACACTTCACCTTTATAGCCGATCCATACGGATTATATAATTTATATATTTATGATCCGTGTTCCCGTACGGCATTAGCATATTGATGATCTTTTGCATAGTTCTGAGTTTGTTTATGATCATTCAATGAACCAATTTATGTCATGATGAGAAATTAATCCTCTTAGTATCATTTATATTATTTAATAAGACTTATTGCTGACTTATTTCCATCACGAACTTATACATACCCCGATACATGTCATGGTTGCTTCCAATAAATGTTTGTGCTCCATACTAGGAACTATACACTATTTGTGATGTCCATGCATGTCATCGCGATCGTATATGATGATACGATGATCCTTGATGTAATATATATATATATATGAGACAGATACTGTAGACTACGATGTATTTGTGTTCATAGATTGCGGGGTTCTATTGTGGACCTAGAACTTGCATTTTTGGATACTACTTGACAGATAAATTTGATTGAATAGATGATATTGATATTTCACGTATTCATCTTTAGTTGGCTACATTATATTGAATAGATGGTATTGATATTTCACGTATTCATCTTTAGTTGGCTACATTATATTGAATAGATGATATTGATATTTCACGTATTCATCTTTAGTTGACTACATTATATTGAATAGATGGTATTGATATTTCACGTATTCATCTTTAGTTGGCTACATTATATTGAATAGATGGTATTGATATTTCACGTATTCATCTTTAGTTGGCTACATTATCAAGATCTACATAAGCCAGAATGTAAAAGGGGGAGGCCAGAAGAGTGCAAAACGCAGTAAGTGAAATGAATCATTCAAGAGTTTAACCAGTCATAAGGAAAACAAGCCCCACTATCCAAATCTATTCCTATGTTCATTACACTTCTCTACCCCACCATAGATCAGAAACCAATACCACAAATACAATATAATATCATCAATGATCTAACAAAACTTCGTTGATTTCATGTTGTTAGTCTCCATTCGAACAATATGGGAGTAGTAATTAAATAAATGGAAGCAGTTCACCAAGGGACGCTGGAGAGACTGCTTGGAGGATGATTTCTGTCGCTTCAACATTAAATAAGGCTGTAGTTGATACGGACAAACACAAAGAGGCAGAAACTGAAGCAAGTAGCCAATCAGTCGGAACTGTTTCTGCGCAAAGACTACCTTTCATAAGTGATGCGAATAACAATGACGATGAGTAAAATATAATTCACACTAACGTATATTTGTGTTTTATGCATGCACTACTATACGTGTTATACGTGTACACTTTCTGTGTTATACGTATATACTTTTGTGTTTTACGTTTACCCTATCTGCGTTATAAGCATAGCCTTTTTGTGTTTTATAATTACAATATTTGCGTTACACGTATAGGCTTTTTTGTGTTTTACGTTTACATTATTTACGTAATACGTATACACCTTTTTGTGTTTTACATTTACAATATTTGTGTTATCCACCTACTCTCACTTGGCTTTTGCATTCATCCGATTGGTACTGTAGCATGATCATTCTTTATCAATACACACCCGTTTCGGTTTGAAGTAATTACTGGAAAGCTATTGTATAATCAATCATAATTTTTACGCCAATTAATGGAATCGAGTTTCAAAATTGAAGTTGAATGTGCTTATATTTATACTATAGAAAACAAAAGCTCACTGTGTGAGCTAAAGAGAAATTAATGTCTTTACACAGGTAGGTAAAATAATATAAAAGGAATAAATCCTTCTTTGAAGTAGACTAACATATTTGGTCTCACAAAGAACCAACGATTGTTACGCGGTAAACATGATACAAATATATATCATATTCCGCAACAAATATGGCATATTCACTTGCAGTATATGACAGATTCACCTGAAGTATATGGCATACAAATTACTAGATAACTTTTATTTACTCATAAATGAACAAAGTTCTAAGACTAATTAACCATCTAATCCATTGCACAATTTTAATAATATTATATTAATATATATTTAGTAAACCACACAACCAATGAGAAAGTGATACGGAAGTACACAATTGTCAATTACATCGATTCAACGAACGGGCTTAAGTCTATAAATTATTATAATGATTACTGAATCAACATGTCAGTGCATTGAATATATCAACTCATACAATTGAATAATATACATCAGTACATTATGTACGTGAAACACGTAAAACACACTTCAAGGGGAACATTATTACGTATAAATAAACGAACCAACGTTCAAATCAACCCCTGACAAAAGCCAGATAAAAACCTAAAAATCTCGAGTATTTATATATTATATTGTTGTATTGGAAATCACAATTTACACTGATACATTCAGGAGTATCATTTAGCAAATTACACGTAATAAACGTGCCTAAACAATTCAGGATTCATACACTGCTGATATATTATTACTCGAGGCGCTAACTTTATTGGTAATCAAGCGTAGTTTTACATTTAGAATCGATTCTTTTGACCAATCAAATCGAGGTTTTCTGTATCGCGTCATCACCTGAGGTATATGGCATATTCCGCAGTTGAGTATGACATTTTACGCAGTGCATATCGGGTATTCACTGAAATCAATGTATCGCATATACACTGCAGAATATGCCATACCAACCTGCGGAGCCATATACCGCAAGTGAGTATGGTATATTTCCCCGTATCAAAAATACCGCACATTAACCATAAATATGCCATATTTCGCGTAACAACTATCATGAAATTTCAAAAACGCCAGAGTAAATATTTTATGGTTTAATCAAGTAGCTTCAATTAGAGCTCACTTTATCTCTGGAAACCAATCAAAAAGATACAATAAGAGCTCCCTATATTTCTCGAGCCAAGCCGGGGAGCCAAGTAACCACAATAGGAGCTGACGATAATTCTGGATTATTTGGGTGTTACACACTGTTCGTTGTACGTTGGGATGTTGGGGATTATATTTTATTGTGCCCAGTTGTAGACTTAAATGTTCCGTTTCAAAGTGTTTTTGAAATACTATTTGATCCTTAGCATCATTATTCTCTCGCCTAATTCTTGGTATCGAAATGATTACTGACAATCGGTTATGTAACGAATCATTAATTTCTTCACATCCAGGAAATCCTATTTACCCTCATCGATAATTCTGTTTACCTTACATCAATTAACGGAATCAAATTTACAATTTAATACGTTGAAGTGTTATGTACTTATAAGATGGACGTAAATTAATATCGTAATGCAGGGACTACAATGCCGATGGAGGTCATTATATAGTTAGAGGAGAGTTTACATTTAGTCAGTCTTTGTTCCCACGAACACGTCGACAGTGTCCGAAAAGGGCACATAGACAAACACGTCCGTTGTTCAATATAAAACAACAAGTACTATGAAGGTAAAAACAAAACAGTTTAAAAACATATACAAAAACAAATAATAGAGCAACCAGTCAGAGGGAAACAAATCCCCACTAACCCAAAAAGATCTTTACTCAGAAACAATATCTACACTTCCTCCCATCTCCCATTATTCAGGACACTACAACATCATGGAACATTTCATTCATTCTCGAAGTACACGCGGATGACAATTAAAACAGAAAAAGAAGACCAAAAAGAAGGATTCAGACTCAAATCCTTTTACACGTCGCAAAAAGTTCGCGCACGTATTGTTACACATTTTCGCTTTTTAACACGACAGAATGTGACGTTTTTGAGAAAAATGTAAACAAATTGAAATCCTTTCGTCCTCCCTATTTGCCTCCATATCTCAAAACATTTGGTATGGTTAGGAGCATCATAAAACACGAATCAATTGATATTTTAGGTGAAATAAATAAACAGATTCTATTTTTCAAACTATATGACGTCACAGTATGGGGCGCTTACTAGAATTCATCCGTTGAAATAACACTTCCATCCACCTCTATCAAGACGAAAAAATTAGTACCGTGGGTACTGGGCTCACATGGTGTTGCTCAAAAGTGAAAATAAAAAAATGGATATAATTTTTGGCCGATTTTTTGTAACAAAACTATTTCATACAACTACTCTTTACAAAGACATGGGTTTTTACAATGCAGGAGACCTGAACTTATTTGTAAAGCTAGGAAATGGGCCAAAAGTGAATTTCCCGAGACAAAAATGGTGGCCATTTTGAAAATAGGCGAGATTTTGAAACAGGAGTCACAGGTCTTTTTTTCTTTATTGATGTTGAACAAAAATATTCTAAAACGGGAATCCTATCTACAGAGGATTTAAAAAGAGCCAAGTGTTGACA